CCTGAACAAAATGTTCTCAAATGCACAAGTTGTACATTTCAATAAGGAACCACACTTGAAGTCAATTTAATACTATATAAATATTCACAGAAAGAGACATTTAAATCAATGTTTCCTTTTTCAAGATTTTCATTTGGATCAAAGGGGCAGTAATACAATACCATATGGCAAGGTAGATTCAAGTACCCATATTGTGGAGAGGGAATGGTGACCAATTATAAGCATAACCATACCTTCTCATGAGCTTAAATCATCTTTTCTTGAACCTTGAAACCTCTAGCCTGAGGTTAATGCCTTGATACTGGTTTGACCACAGTGGGACTGCTCCAAGATGTTGAAGGGTAAGGGATCATCTTTCAGAGTACTCCAGCCATTCAATCTGCTCTGCGGCAAGAGGTTGTTCTCCATTTACCACTTAAACATGAACCTTAAATCTACCCACCCCCTTGTGGTTATGGGTGCAATTTGGATGGGTCAACCCAAACCCCACCGACTTTTCATTCCTACAATTAGAGTTGGGCTTGGGTTGAAAATTTTCAACCCAAACTTAATTAGAGTTGGACTTAGGTTGAGGAGCTAGGAATCCGAACTTGAATTTCAACCCGACTTTTATATATTCGTATTTTGAAATATATTACATATACTTGTGATCATGATCAACTCTTTTTTCTTTCAATTTTTTTCTTTAAATCTTCGACTTTTATATATTCATATTTTGAAATATATTATATATACATAAATCTTGGTAGTCACCATTGGAAGGAAGATAAGTCAGTGCAAGAGAGGGGTCGTAGCAATCCAAACTCGAATTGTCAGGGCTTGTTAATCCTTTTTTTTTTTCCGAATATTTAGCACCCATAGCAATAATATTATCATCTCTTTCTCTCTCTCCTGCATTGAGTTCTCTTCCTTCCAACGGCAACTATCAATTCCTTCCTCACCACACCAACCAAGACCCCAAGCAACAAATCCACCACTTCCTCTGTATCCCGGAAACACCACCGATCAGCTTCTGAATTCAAGAGCTGATTCAAGGCCTACAATCACCTACAGGCAGCCGTTGTGGCCTTTGGTGATAAGTTACCGATCCCTCAGATTGTCGCTCTCGACGGGCAGTTTGATGGCAAGAGATCGCTCCTCGAAACCCTTCTCGATTCCGATTCAACATTCGCGAGGTCAATATGGGCTCAAGAAGACCTCTCATCCTTCAAATGGTCCATGATCCAACAGCGTCAGAGCCTCGATGCCGGTTTCAAGTAATTCCGTGGGAGTGTTCTTATGATTATTATTATTATTAGGGTTTTTATGGTTTCTAGACTTGCATACTATCAGCCTAGGGTTTCAGTCCTCTAAATTTATACACATTTGGTGAATTTATAGGCCCTAATAGACAGGTTGTTAGTGAGCAGCTCAATTTCAAATGGTCTGAAACAAGACCTTTTCCTAGCAATGGCTCATTTTAACTATTATAGAAAAGAGCTTATTCTCACCATCTACAAATACTGCTCCAAGAAACATTAATGTTCACCATCAATCAGACAATAATTTAAGGGGCCCTATATCAAAATTGGCTCACTTTCTCTCAATCAAACCACCGTCCTTGCTAATAATTTTAGGAAAAATAAGAATAAGATTTATTTTTCTTTTTAAATACCAATAAGTACTACCAAATTTCACTAAGACCACTAAGTCCTGCTTTTGAAACATTTTTTCACATCAGTTGTAAATCTCTTGATGTTTTACTTGGAACCTTTGCAAATAAGAACTAAAATTTGGCTAGTATAGCTAATATTTAAATTAAGGGCTAATTTCAAAAAAACCCCACTACTTTCAATTTTTTATCATAAACCCCCAACCTATTTCAAAAAATCCCCTACATTTTAAAAATTGATCAAATTGCCCCCAAGCCTGTGTCTGACCCGTTAATCCGGCTGTGAAATGACAAATTTGACCTTATGATTTATTTTTAAATTAAAAGTTAATATTTATTATTTTAGAATTACATCAATACCCCTAAAAGGTCTTCTTCCTCTTCATCACCATCGCCGTCGACGAACCAAAGGATCGGCACAAAATAAACAACTGAATTCAAACCCAAATGTTCAATCAAAAAATCTAACCCTAAAACAAAAGTACGAGTGAATAGATACAAATACTATATATATATATATATATATATATCGCCGCAAATTCTACAAATTCTCCAAAGCAGGTGACTGAAATTGATGGGATTAGAACCTGAACAAAGGGCTATTTGAACTTGAGGCCCTTGCAACCCTCTACGGCTCATCTTGATTAGAGCCAGCTTGAAGGGCAATTTCACGACGACCTCAGCTTTTGAACAACAAATTAAGCAAAATCCAAAAACAAGGATGAGGCCCAAGGCAACCACAACACCTTAATTGAACTTGAAGACGGAGATCGCGGCGAGGTGACAAGTGGGGAACATCGGCGACGCTTGCCACAAGACCAAATTGCAAAACCTTTGCACCAATCTCACCCAAACATAACCCATCTACAAAACTTAACCAACAACCTCTCCACCAGAATCGTGACATTGACACCGCCTCACCATCAATGGCGTTGAACTCCTTCTCTCGTGCCCAGATCGAGGAAGGCCTGACCCAAATGTTCAAGAAATTCAGCGTGAACGGCAACTGCAAGATCTCGTCGTCGAAGCTCACGCAATAATGGGCAGCCTGGGCAACAACACCACCGTGGAGGAGCTGGACATGATGATCTGGGAGGTGGACGGCGATAGTGACAGGTGCATCGACCTGAACGAGTTCATCAAGCTGAACACGAAGGACATCGACTATTAACAACGATCCGTCAACGTTACATCAGGGATCCATATCTTCGGCAAACGTTAATTGTTGCCTTTCTTCTTCTCCACCCAAGTCGCTGGATCTGCAATCCATAGATGACAATGACCCAAAGGTCGCCATCCTCTCTCAAGCCCTTTGGGCACTTTATGCGACCGAGGTTTTTTCAAAAATGGCTCGATCTTAGTCGCTGCTAAACTCGGTGACCTGGTTTCCTCCTTCACCGGCGAAAACCATGGTCGCCTTCTCTTTGCCAAACGTAAAAAATGGATGGTCGTTGCCCTGTTTTCTGTTTTAGAGAGAGGGGGGAGAGAGTTTTAGAGAGAGAAAGGGGTGATGAATAAGACAAAAGGTCTTTTTGTAATTTTTAAAACATTATTTTTAGTTTTAAATTTAACATTACATAGTAAGGTCAAATTTGTCATTTCATAGCCTGGTTAACAAGTCAGACACGGGTTTGGGGGCAATTTGATCAATTTTTAAAGTGTAGGGGGGTTTCCTAAAATAGATTGGGAGCTTATAATAAAAAATTGAAAGTAGTGGGGGTTTTATGAAATTAGCCCCTTAAATTAATAAATATAATCCGACCAAATGTTTCTGTTTGACTATATAACATGTCTAATATTTTCTTATTAACAATTACATTTTTTAATTTGAATATTTTATTTGAAGTATAATAATGTTTTAAATGTTTCTCCAAATAAAAAATATATATTTAATATTGTAGTGACCAATTTAATAATATTTGTATTTTTTGTGGCAAAATTGTCAAAGGCAAACATAATTCACACACCAGATTTTCTAAATTGAATTGCAATTAAATTAGTTTAATATTTAGAGTCAAAATGTAATATTCATTAATTCGTTGAAAATTAAAAGAGCAAGGAAACAAAAAGTTTAGTTTCTAAACAAAAACTACTAATAAACTGAAAAGAAAATTAAAAAAAAAATAATTTATAATCACAAAATACCAACAGTAACACTAGAAATTCAAAAGATTTAGAACTAATGTGGAAACATCTATCAAAAAGTAGGACTCAGTTATCTTATTGAAATTGTCAGGACTTGTTAATCTTTTTTTTTTTTTTTTTGGAAGTTAGACTTGTCAGTTCTTGAAAGGGAAAGAGGACTTGCCATTGATTTCCAACAGCAATAATAATATCAGCAAACAAGCACCTGGCAGAGTTCAAAATTTTAGCACCCATTAAAAATAACAAAAGAAATCTAAAGAAAAATTAATCAACTTCTCACTCAATCCTCTCTCTTCCCCCTATCTGAAAAAATGAAAAGGGTAAAATAAAATCCTAAGTTTTAAGTATCAGCGTTCCATCTCCCTCTTGCCTATTCCAAAAATCCATCTGATCTGTAAAATCTTTAATACAAATAATTAGATAAACATATTTATGGTTATATAATAAGGATATAGTTCCATACTCCATGATTTTGGGATACTTCCCTTAATGTCAAATTTTTAGTCAGTTGCGCATCAGTTTCCATCTTTACCAAGGACTCATTCAGTAACCTAATAACAGAATTCTTTCAGAAGAAACATTTTGATGATGATGATGACGACAACGACGACAATGATCCTATTGGGAGAAGTTGGACCTTGATAACAGATTAGAAGTCTAGGGCGAATCTCTAATGCTTCATTTGGTTAAAAATATGGAAAAGTGGGTGGAAGGGAGAGCATGAAGGATGAAGCATCCATGGAAAGGATGGTATCCTTCCCCCTTTTTCTTTGGTTGAGTGGAAGAACGTGACACCTTCCATTCTTTTTTTATATTTTTACCATTATAACCTCATTATATAAGTTGGTAAAATTTGATGAAGGGTACTAATGGCACTTTACATAATATAAAATACTTGTCCTCTCATCTTGTCCAATTTTAGAGGAATAAATAAGGTGGGGCATGAGGGATGCCTCATCCTTCCATTCTTCCCTTTCCTCCATCTTTCCCTACCAAACAATGTAGGCTTGCTCCATCCCTCGTCTATTCCCTCCCTCCCCCTTCCCTTTCCTCCAATCAAAAGCAGTAATGGCACTCTAGAACTAACATATATTATAAGCCAATAGTCAATCCAACTAAATCAATACATCTACTGACCACCTAATACCTTTATTATATATATATATATACACACACATATAGAATCGGGGGCAACAATGTGCAATTCAATAATCAAAAAGAGCCATTAAGAAATATAAGAAAGGTATAGGCAACTAACATCATCTTAAGAGAAAAACAAGAAATACAGTAGATTCAGTAACTATACAGGAGCATATTGAGTTTATTGAGGCAGCATAGCAACTGGACTTATTGACATCATAAGCCAAAGGGAGAATAGACAAATATAAGAGAAGCTTAATTCCCACAATGGATTTTTATACTTACCACCTCTACAAGAATTTTTCTATGCTCGTGGTTAGTGTTGATTTAGGAACTGCACCAATAATGGCATCTTTTTTCTCCCCGCTCTTGAAGATAATGACAGTTGGAATACTTCGGATCCCATATCGGGTTGCAACTGAGGGGCTCTCATCAGTGTTCACCTTGTAGCATTTGAGCTTCCCAGCATATTGCTTTGCCAATTCATCAATAATAGGGTGGATCATACGGCATGGCCCACACCAAGGAGCCCAGAATTCAACCAGAACAGGGGAATCAGACTCGAGGACGAGTGACTGCCATGTTGCGTCCGTGACAGAAAGCACTGGAAAGAAAGTATTATGAATGAATCATCATTATTCTATACACCAATAAGTTTGTCAGTGTCTCTCTCAACTGTTCGTGTATGCAAATGGTTGTTCACTACTTGTTCCTTGCTATGAGATTGGTCATATCATCTTCTAAAAGTTGATTTGTTGTTTCTATGACTGTATTGATGTCTTGTCTATCTCTTTCCTGTTTTGCGCTTCATAAAGAACACCATCTTAATCAAAGCACTGTGGTTGGTTAACTACAACAATATTACCAATGTCTATTCCATTTTCGCTTTGAAAGTATTATACTCGACTTAACAATCTAGCAAGAGCAGTAGCTGTGTATTTATCAATTACTATAATGAGTTGAACAGTTAGCTAAACCTCATGATTTCACAGCTATTAATAATTCATTATATTAGCAGAGCATCAAATATTCCTTAGCCACTGCTTCCATAACTACAAATCCCCCCACCCACCAAAAAAAAACCAGCAGTAACAGTCAATATTTGCACAAAGTAACCAACAATAAACCCTAAATGGAAGAATTTCTCTCCTCAATCAAATGTGCGTTCAAAAACAATTTCAAAATGTCATTAGGGTACATATAAATAGGTATTTACAATACAATACAATACATATATATATATATATATATATATATATTAAATGTGTGTATGAAGGAAAACAATAGATTCAACCGAGCAATGAAAGCGAGGGACACTAACCTTCAACTGCCGTCTCTTGAGCCTCGCAAACGATTCGTCCCCCACGGCGAACGACTCTCGAACTCGACGATGCCACAGAGCGACTTGAAGAAGTCGACTGGATCTTCAGGCCTCTGAATTCCGGCAACTTGATCGATTTCCGGCTTCCAGAAAGTGCACAAACAGATAAATTCGCGATCGGAGACAAAGTAGCCGACGGAATAACAGAGGTACGAGGGACAGTGAGGGTTTCGAGTACACCAGCCATTGAAGTAGTCACTGAGCTATATATAGAAAGAGTGTGTGTTAGAGAGATGTATATCAGATAACTGATGATCTGAGAAGTTTGATTTTTACAGATATATCTAGAGAGACAGAGAGAGGGAGGGAGGTCTGTGGCTGGCTGATGTTTGTTTGGTTTTTGGTTAGACGAATGGTTGAAGACAAGAGTGGGACGGATGGGGAGAGGAAATGTTGTGTGAGCTCACGCCTCACGTGACTTGCACTTGCCCACCAACACCAAGACACGTTTTGGACTCAACATTGGGGTGCTCGATTTGGGCCTGCAGACATGGGCCCACAAGTTTGGCTTTTCCTGCAACGCTAAGGTATGAAGAAGTATGAACCCTCGTGTGCGATTGGTGCTTGTGACAACAAATCATTATTATCCCTTAAGATTTTGTTCTTAATTGGACTGAATAGGTTTTAAACCTTTAATAAACTTGACAATAAATCATTAGTAAAATATATATATATATATATTTTTTACCTAATTCAGTCTCGTTAGGGTAACTGATCGTATTGCTGGATTTACAATGTTAATTATTTTTTTTCTTTCCCTCAATCATAATTGTGTATGACCTCTTCCAGTAGTTTGTTTATTTTTAACTATTAAAATTCATATAATCAAACTAATTTTCCCAATTGTTAATCGTGATGAACCGTATAATAGGCTTTGAATTCTTATTTCAACAGAAAATTTTCATATTAATATTTTATTATTAGATCAATAGAATGAGTCATAAGTCATAACTATTCAGTACATAATAATTTTTTATTTCGTTATTTTTAGGTATTACGTATATATATATTGAGGATGCAGCAAGTGGCATGGGCCGGATACAGTTCGCTGGAACGTAATCGGGTCGAACAATTGAAGTAGGATCCATGCCAAAGCGCCCCGGAATGGGCCGAACCTGGGGAATCCACCGAGGAAGATCAAGCCCGTTGGAAGATCAAGCCCAGAAGGAAGAAAACTTTTGAATATAGGCCCAATATAATCAGTTAACAACAATAATGGTAATAGCCTACAAATAGACCATTACAGGTGGAAAATAGGGAGAATTTTTCTGGATTCTATTGAAGGGTAAGAATTTTAGAGAGAGAAAGAAGAAACGAATTCTTGCATCTTCAATTGGCGCCTTCTGTGGGAATCGAGGACGAAGATCAATTCGAGCCCGATCAGTACCATATTAGTTCAATCGAGTTTGTGAGTACATAGTGTGATTTCTGGAAGTTGAATCCAGATCAGTGAGATTGTAGTCTGTTCAGAGAGAATTCTTGCTAATTGTGGATTCTGAGGCATTTGCTTCGGAACGACGCAATTGTGATTTGCTCAATTGCAGTCAAATCCGGTGAGTTCAAAGCTAGAAAAGTTCAGATCTAGCAAACAGTAATCACGATTCGGTGAAGTTAAGCCCAGATCTAACGGAGTTTGCATCGGTGACGCTTAGATCTGTTTCGGAGTTCGTAATTCATGCCTTTACTTCGATCCGGAATCATGATAGGGGGTGACAACTCCAATACGGTTGAGAACGTCCAGCAAGTGAAACTTGATGAGTTGATGAACATGATCGAAGCTCTCCGGAGAGAAAAATGCGGATCTAAGGACTGAAATGTAGTGTCAATAAGCTCCAGTAATTCCACGACCACTCCCGGTAGGAGAAGAAGGTACACGTACCGATGCAGCACATCACGGTGAGGAGGTTGGAAACAATCTAGTAGATCCTCACCGCGAGGAAATCCAGCGAAACGGTTTGCCGCCAAATCTTCGCCGTATTGATGATCGAGAAAGATCAACTCACATAGATCCACGGCGTGACCAGAACAGGCGAAACGAAGCAATGGCTTTTGATCCACATCAAGAAACGCTCAGCCGAGGTGAAGCAACAAAGTTGAATCGTCACAAAACTATGCCTCCATGGCGCAAAGACTTTGTTGAGGACAGGTCATTCGATCCGACCTATCGGCCTTCCATGACGACGTTCGACTATCACAGCTCAGAGAGGAGATCAGTTGACCAGAGAGCAACCGCGGGGTTCTAGAAGGAAAATGAAGCACTCCGTTCAACAGCTCGAACGGTTGATTCACCGTTCACCGATGAGATTCTGAATGCTCCGAGTCCGAGGAAATTTTCTATGCCCGTTTTCATTCTGTTCGACGGAACGACTGATCCGATCGATCACGTGTATCACATCCAGTTGAAAATGGCTCTAAACACTGAGAATGACTCTTTGATGTGCAAGTGCTTTCCTACGAGTCTGGCCGAACCAGCTCTGAATTGGTTCAAGAACCTGCCGAGGGGTTCGGTGGATAGTTTCCGAAGCTTATGTGATCGATTCATAAGCCAATACTATGGAAACAAGCGTCCAGCGAATGATATTTCAAGCCTATTCACAATGAAGCAACATGCTGATGAACGTCTCCAGGCTTTCCTAACCAGGTTTAACCTTACCAAGAGCATGGTTATTGAATGTCACCCTTCAACGGCAGTTCAAGCATTCATACTGGCCATAAACCGTGGCACCCCATTCCACACAAGCTTGGTGGTGAACACGCCGAAGACTATGGATGAACTTAACGAAAGAGCCGATGGATTTGTGCACTTGGAAGAAGAAGAGGCAGCAAACGCTCGGAAGACATCCGTCATATCCACGGAAGAAAAGACCAAAGCAAAGATCAGGCAAAAACAGGTTCAGCCGCAACGCTCCTCGTGGAAATCAGAGAAGAGGCCCAGAGAGGAAGAGCTGGTTACTCCATTGAAAGTTACCCTAGCGAGACTGTACCAAGAAAATAAAGATAAGTTCCGACCTCCTTTACCAATCAGACAACCTCTCGAACAGAGGGATCAGTCTAAGCACTGTGCATTTCATTCTGATTTTGGCCACCGGACTAACGAATGCAGGAACCTAAGGAGACAGGTAGAGATGCTGATGGCCAGAGGGGAGTTCGCAAGTTATATTCAAGGACCAACGGTGGAGCAAAACCGACTAATGGAGCACGTGAAGAAGAATCAGAAGTCGAATTCTCATAACACTCAACCAGTTCGAGTAATCAATGCAATTCACGGTCGGCCAGAACCTGCCGAGGAGTCAGATGAACTGCTTTGAACACGCCTTCGCCAGGCACGGATGAAGAGAATGATAGGCAGTGTAAACACTCTGCACCAACAGAGCACATTAACGCAGATAAAGTTTGACGTAACAGACTTGTTACGTGTTCAGATCCCTCACGAGGACCCGCTGGTAGTAAGTTTGACAGTGGCCAAATGCTTGGTGCGCAGAGTTCTAATTGACCCTGGAAGTAGTGCGAACATCATGCCAAGAGATACATTCGATCGGCTTGAGATCAAACAGGATCGGCTGAAATCCACCTGGAATCCACTACTAGGGTTTGATGGAAAGCGAGTGGAGCCCGTCGGCACGATGGAGGTAGCGGTACATGCTCCCGAAAGGGTTTTGATGGAAACCTTTGTGGTTGTTGAAATTCATCCCTCTTACAATCTTCTGATGTGCAGAGGGTGGATCCACAGAGTTCAAGGTGTTCCTTCCACTCTACATCAGGTAATGAGATGCCTGGGCCCGGACGGAACCAAAGTGATTAATATTCATCGAGACCAGGTTGCAGCTAAAGAATGTTATTCTGTAACACTGAAACATACCGGAAAGGGGAAAGCTCCCATTCGTTCAGCAAGTCCGAAATAGCAATTACAGGAGCCTCCCTCCAAGCAGAGTGGGGAGGAGGAGTCAGTAGGCTTGACTGAAGCACCCTTGTTTGATGTGCAGATTGATCAGTTCCGACCGGAACGGACAACCAGAGTGGGGGAACGACTCGTTGAGGAGGAAAAGCAGGAATTAGTTGATTTTTTGTCTCAAAATGCAGACGTGTTCGCATGGAGTCACCTAGACATGCCAAGGATCGATCCTTCTGTATCTTGTCACTCCTTGAACGTTAACCCCAATGCAAAACCTGTAAAGCAGAAGCAGCGACGGTTTGCCCCCGAGCGCAACCGAATTATTGCCGAGGAGGTTGACAAGCTGCTTGATGCGGGGTTTGTAAGAGAAGTGTACTACCCTGACTGGTTATCGAATGTGGTCGTTGTGCAGAAGAAAAATGGGAAATGGCGTGTATGCATTGATTTTACTAATTTAAACAAAGCCTGTCCGAAGGATAGCTTCCGCTGCCAAAGATTAATCAGATAGTGGATGCAACTACTGGATATGAACGCTTGACCTTTTTGGATGCTTATTCAGGTTATAATCAGATCCCTATGGACCCTGCTGATGAAGAAAAAACTTATTTCGTTACCGAACGCGGGACGTATTGCTACAAAGTTATGCCATTCGGACTGAAAAATGCCGGAGCAACTTACCAAAGACTTATTAGCAAAATTTTTAAGGAACAAATAGGGAAGACAGTGGAAGCTTACATTGATGACATGGTGGTAAAAAGTAAGAAGAAAGCTGATCATGTGAAGCATCTGCGAGACGTGTTTGATGTGTTGAGGCGATATGGAATGAAGCTCAATCCGACCAAGTGCTCATTCGGTGTAAGTTCAGGCCAATTCCTAGGGCACGTGGTTAATCTCAGAGGCATCGAGGCAAGCCCTGCCCAAGCAGATGCTCTGACTAAGAATGTCGAGCCGACGACAATCAAAGAAGTGCAAACACTTACGGGACGGATTGCTGCACTGAGCCAGTTCATTTCCAAATTGTCAGATCGATGCAAACCATTTTTTGACACAATACAAAGCCACGGCAGGCAGGTTTGGGGGAATGAACAGCGCCTAGCGTTAACTGATCTGAAAAAATATATGCAGAACCTTCCGGTACTGTCAGCTCCAGAATCGGGCGAAAAGTTATTTTTATATCTCGGAGTATCCAGCATCGCGACAAGTGGCGTTCTGATCCGCTACGCAAAAGGGAAGCAATATCCAGTGTTCTATGTTAGCAAGACAATGACTGAGGCCGAAAGACGTTATTCAAAGGCAGAGCAGGTGATACTCTCGCTAGTGCATACGAAAAGAAAGCTCAGGCATTATTTTGAATCCCATCCTATCATCGTTCTAACCACTTTCCCTATCAGAATAATCCTGCACAAACTAGATCTCTCAGGAAGAATGACAAAGTGGGCCATAGAGTTAAGCTCATTTGATATCACATACGAACCTAGAACAGCAGTCAAAGGACAAGCGGTAGCAGATTTTTTACTTGAATGTGATTCAGATGACGTGGAAGAGGATCTTCGTGGTTGCTTATGGAAACTCTTCGTTGATGGATCCTCCAATCAGATGGGTGCAGGCATTGGGATCAAATTACAGATGCCAGAAGGTACAGCCTTAAGCCAAGCACTTCGGCTTGAATTCAGAGCCACGAACAATGAGGCAGAGTATGAAGCGTTGCTGGCAGGAATTAAGCTTGCCAAGGAGCTTAAGGTCAGGAATTTGAATGTTTTTAGTGACTCACAGTTAATTGTTCGGCAGGTGAGGGGTGAGTATGAAACCAAGGATGAAACGATAGAAGCATATCGTTCTGCTGTTGTGCGGGAGGCGACGAACTTTGAAAAAATTGAATTTATTCAAATTCCAAGGGAGTATAACGAAGATGCCGACCGGCTAGCGTGTAGTGCCTCGGGTTCTGGAGAAACATTGGCAAGGGTGATTCCAGTGGGAATATTAAACCAGCCATCCATTTTCGAAGAACCTTCAGGCTCAGATCCTTGGCAAGTGAATGTTATTCCATATGAGCCAAGTTAGATTGATCTGATCATAACTTACATCCAAGATGGTACTCTGCCTGAGCAAAGAGATGAGGCTAGGAAAATCAAAGCGAATGCTGCGAAGTACGCCGTAATGCATAACCAGTTATACAGAAGATCTTTTTCCGGACTGTACTTAAAGTGTGTTACCCCCACAGAGGCTCGGCAAATACTACGAGCTATTCATGAAGGTGTATGTGGAAACCACTCAGGGGGGAGATCTTTAGCGCACAAAGCAATGGCGCAAGGGTACTTCTGGCCGAACATGTCGCGAGATTCGGAAGAATTGTCCAGAAGGTGCGATAAGTGCCAAAGGTTCGGACCACTGATTCATCAACCACCTAAAGACTTGCACGTAATGGCCACACCATGGCCTTTCACACAGTGGGGGATGGATGTAGTTGGTCCTCTACCAACTGCCCGAGCTCAGAACAAGTATGTGATGCTGGCTACAGATTACTTTACTAAGTGGGTGGAAGCAGAGCCATATCCGAGCGTTACTCAAACTCATGTGAGACGATTCATTTGGAGTAATATTATTTGCCGGTTTGGTGTTCCGAGGTCAATCGTCATGAATAATGGGACCAACCTTGACAGTAAGCAAGTAAGAGAGCAGTTGGAGGAATATGAAATTAATCAAAAGCTGGCGGCAGTAAGTCACCCACAGGCTAATGGACAGGCAGAAATTACAAATAGAACAATCTTTACTTGTATCAAGAAGAAGCTAGAAGAAAGGAAAGGAAGGTGGTTAGATGAACTGCCAAACGTCCTATGGGCCTACAGAACGACCCCTAGACGACCGACCGGAGAAAGCCCATTCACCATGGCATATGGTACCGAGGCAGTTATACCAGTTGAACACTTAGTTCCGACTGTTCGAAGCTTGGCATGGAACCATGAGCATAATGACAGTATGTTAAGGTTTAACCTCGATTTGCTAAAAGAAAAAAGAGATGCAGCAACGGTAAGGCTCGCATCCTACCAGCAGACACTTGCGAACAGCCATAATAAGAAAGTAAAGCACAGAGACTTTAGACCAGGTGATCTGGTTCTGAAAAAGAATGCGGGGATAGTCAAAAAGATGATGCCACCATGGGAAGGTCCATATAGAATTGCAGAAGGCATAGGAAAGGGGGCATATACCTTAGAAACCATGGTCGGAAGGCTGGTTAACAAGCCTTGGAATGCTACTTCTCTGAAGAGGTATTATCAATAAAAAATTGAGATTCAATACTGAATTTTGTTCATTTTTAATTGAATACAGTCGAATGTACAAGTTTCTGAGATTTATAAAGATTATACTCCTCTTTAAAAGGTTAAGCAAAGTAAGTGGCAGCTGGCACTATGAGCCAAACGCCAAACACTAAGAGGGGGCTAAGTGGCAAGTGGCATTCTAGCCGAGCGCCAGGCACCTGAGCAATGTAAGTGACAGCTGGCACTATGAGCCGAACGACAAACACTTTCTAAGAAAAAAAAAAAGAGAGGGGCAAGTGGCAAGTGGCATTCTAGCCGAGCGTCAGGCGCCTGAGCAAAGTAAGTAGCAGCTGGCACTATAGGCCGAACGCCAAACACTTGCTAAGAAAAAGAGAGGGCCAAGTGGCAAGTGGCATTCTAGCTGAGCGCCAGACGCCTGAGCAAAGTAAGTGGCAGCTGGCACTATAGGCCGAACGCCAAACACTTGCTAAGAAAAAGAAAGGGCCAAGTGGCAAGTGGAATTCTAGCCGAGCGCCAGGCGCCTGAGCAAAGTAAGTGGCAGCTGGCACTATAGGCCGAACGCCAAACACTTGCTAAAAAAAAAAGAGAGAGAAAGTTTACATAAAGAGCTTGATCAGAAGTCGGCCATCTCATTAATAAAGTTCAGAGAGTTACAAAAAAAAGATGATGTGTAAAGATGGCGAATATACCAAAGTCAGTACATTTTTTTTTTAAAAAAAAGAGAGAAAAAAGAGTTCTAACTACGAGGCGTTCGCCTCGTCAGCCTCTTGATGATGCTGGGCTGTCTCCTCATTATTGTTGGTATCACCATCCTCACGAGGTGAAGAGTCGAGGTGAATGACTGAATCGTTCTGTTGAGTCCTACCCTCAATAGCGTTGGAAGAATCATTCTGCTGAGGGTTATCTTCAGTAGTAATAACAGATGGAGTCAAGGTGGATAGGGGAAAAATGTCCAAAGTCAGAGCAGCAGGAGGAGTAGGAGTGATCCGAGAAGAGGCAATCTCTTGGCATTCATCAAATATGCCCTCGGCAGCGGAGGAGTCTGGATCGGTATAAACACCAGGAGGGTCAATATCCAGTTCCTTGTCAACATTATCAGGGGTAAAACTGGTCTGACCCTCATCCGGAACACGATCGGCGTAACCCTCTCGGAACCCCTGAGCATATCTGAGAGCTCCAACTCTAGAAAACCGAGCATGCAGAGCTAGCATACCACCGTTTACCCTACTGATGGTATCGAGTAAAGCGTTGCGCTCGTCCAAGGCCCTTTTCTCAAAGGCCATTCGAGCGGATTGCTCACCACTCAGAAGGCGTAGCAGTTCTTCCTTTTCAGCCTTAAGGGATTCTCGCTCGATATGCCAGACATTCTTTTCAAACTGCAATGCATTCCTCTTATCCTGAAGAGAGTCAATATCCTTCCTTAACGAATCCCTCTCCTATTCAATCTTACAAAGCTGAACCATTAACCCGGTCTTCTAAGCAGCCAAATCATCGTTCTCCTTGTTCACTGCATTAAGGCTGTCAGAAAGCGCGCGGACCTTGGCATTCACATGCTCTACTTGTTTCTGCATAGCCATCATCCCGTACAGGGTCTGTAGAGATATACAGGACAACTGGTTAAGCCGAGCAAATGGTTAGAAGAAAATCAGTGTAAAGAGTGTATAAAGACTTATTGACTAAGGGGCAGAAGTTACCTCCATGGCGGATAAGGGAAATCGGCTAAACACTTCCCTCTGAGACAGACCTTTTGCTACCTCAATGTCCTTGGGAGTCCACATGCTCCTGTAGTAAGCCATTGCGGTCTGACCATCTTTGAACATGGTCTTGGTCGGTTTAACAGACGATCCGTCTGTTCGAATGAAGCGAGGGTTCCATGGTGCCGTTCCTGAAGCGAAGGCATGCCTAGAAGGGGTAGGGGGCCTAGTCTGAGGAGGTCTCGCTAGGGGTACCACATTCGGCCCAGAGGGCCTAACCCTCTGAGACAAAGGAACGTCATCGATGCAGAGGGCACTATCAGCTTGGTGCCTCTTTCCTCTGGCCTTTTCCCGTGCGGAAGCAGTGGTATAACCAGGAGGATTATTGACAGAAGGGGTAACGTTCGGACTGGCAGTTGCTGTGTTAGCGACCGGGTCAGTAGCCGTCATGGATGGATCGGTGGAAGGAATGGTATCAGAAAGGGTAGCAGAAGAAGATGCTGAAGCCAGCGAGGAATTTGATGCAGGGGTGATAGCAGGCCTGGGGGCAGTTTTCTTCCTGCCGAAGGAAGGGATCTGGAGTTGGCTCATTGTCTTGCCGAGGACTGAGATATCGAGGAGATTGTCTGAGGTGAGGAGGTCCAAGCAGGAGGGAATGTTGGTCAGAACGTACCGCTTCAGGTAGTTATCCCTATCCCTGCACACACCGTAGCTCAAATCATCACAAGGAATGCCTAAGGAATGGCACAAGAAAGTACAAAAGCGAGGAATACAAATCTCGCAAGGACAGTCACTCTTATGGTTTTTATATTTCTTGTAAAAAGAGACAGAGCACTCTCCAAAAGTACTCGGGATAGGGAAATCCTCCGCAGCTGGAGAGAACCAGGCTCCCCTAACCCCAATTATATTTTTCCTCCAGCCCTTCTCGGATTTGATTTTATCCGTGCAGATGGACCTCTTCTCAATGGGGAAAAAGTGGTAAAACGGTTCATCAGTTCTGATCTTGCTGACCTTGTAACAGAGGAGAAGATCTACGAGGTCCAGATCCAGACCTCTATCACGAATCAGGAGTAGCATAACAGACAAAATCCTAAAGAAATTGGGGTTTACTTGCAAAGGGGAAATATTTAGCTTGTTGAAAACATAGCAAAAGAAATGATGCAAAGGAAACCTAAGGAGATTAAGATGGAGGAGTGAAAACAGGACCTTGCCGAAAAGAAGGCCAGCACCGGTTATAATATTCACCTCTTGGGGGCAGTTTTTAATTTCTACATCGTCAGGGAGGTGAAGTTTCATGCGAAGAACGTCTAGATCTACTGTCATGGTGAGAATGAATGAAGATTCCGAGGAGGAGAAAGAAGTCTTCCAAAAGAAAAATGCAAATGAAACTAACCTTAGAGAGTGAAAACGACAGAAAGTACTGCAAGGTCACCGGAAGGAGGATCTTTTGCAAGAGATCGCCGGAGAGGATTTGAACAACAGAAAGTGAGATGGAGACGGTAAAGAGGATTGATGGAACATCTATGAAGCTTATAAAGACAAGGTGAGCCCAAGGGCCGAGGAGTCAGAAAAGCGATGAGTTTTTTTGAATCTCGAAACGCCGACCCCTAAATCTAACCGTCCATTCTCCCACACGATCTTCTCGAGCCGTCAGGTTATCATTAGCAGCCTCTAATAATTACCCCCTAATCAATAAGGGGTAATTATGGTGGCAGTTGAGGATGCAGCAAGTGGCATTGGCCGGATACAGTTCGTTGGAACGGGATCGGGTCGAACAATTGAAGTAGGATCCATGCCAAAGTGCCCCGGAATGGGCCGAACTTGGGGAATCCACCGAGGAAGATCAAGCCCAGAAGGAAGAAAACTTTTGAATATAGGCCCAATGTAATCAGTTAACAACAATAATGGTAATGGCCTACAAATAGACCATTACAGGTGGAAAATAGGGAGAATTTTTCTGCGTTCTATTGAAGGGTAAGAATTATAGAGAGAGAAAGAAGAAATGAATTCTTGCATCTTCATATATAATAAAATAACATCGTGTTATGAGAGACTTGAAGTGGTTATCTTACTCGTGAATTTAAATTTATAACATTATGTCACATGAATTTTACGACATGAAAGATATTACATTTTAAAATAAGACTCTCACACACCAACTTTTATGTATTTAGAGGGAGATTCAATCATAGATTTGTCAACAATTTTGGAACCCAAAATCTCCTCCTCCTCCTCTTATCATCGTGGTCATCATTTTTTTTCTTAGTAGTATCTATTATGCGTTTTAAAGTCACAAGGGGAATGTACGAATTATATGTATTTTTTGTCAATAAAAATATATATATAAATAATCTCATTTTCTTTTATAATTAAGCCTAGAATGTTGTTAAAACAGTGAAGAAAACACCTCTTAGTGATTGTACTTGAATTCAATTTAATCTATTGATATGTATTCTGACTTAGGAAGCACTAATATTTTTACGAGAGCGACGTATTCATACTGAATAAGCGTTTAATATTGATACTCCTTAAATTCTCCTGAATATATGTCCGATACTTCTTAAATGTATTCATAATCTTACAATATATTTTAAATTTTCTAAGACTGTATCTAATACTTCTTAAATAATTCGACTATGCAGTTATTTTGTAACACATTTTTAACAAGTTTTGAACATTAAAATGTAACACTTTTTAAAACAATAATAACATAATATAATTATTAATATAAGATCAAAATTTATTAAATGATAACAACGGATTATTGTGTTTATTTGTTGTTTTCTTGAACAGTGGTCCAAAATCAAAACACCAAAAACATATTTTTTCTTGTTTTCACAACTGTTCATGACAAAAAATAATAACTGTGCATTTTCCTATTTCCACGGCAAAACATCATTCCCAAACGCGTTTTCGAATTTTTTCCAAAACACCCCTGTAGTAACAACACTGTTTAGGGATGGTAACGGGGCGGGTTTGGAGCGGGCTTCCCTAAATCGCGCCCCACCCCGCCCCTTTTAATTTTTGTCAAGTCCATGCCTGCCCCGAGAACCGCAATAGGTTGGATTTTCATGTCCAGCCCCGCCTCGTTAGGAACCCCCGTGCCTGCCCCACTAACAAATTTTTTTCTCCCACTTTTTGGAACTTAAACTCATACTATTTAAATGTGCAAAGTCTAGGAATGACACAACATAAATAAAATTATGTATCCCAACAACAATAAAAAAAATAACATGCACATAACATAATTCAGAGAACATAATAAACAAAAATTAAAGTTTAATACAACCAAATCACAAGAAGTTTTAGGCTCCAACTTCTACCATAATTAAAACAAAAGCAAATTTAATACCAAGTTTACATCCCAAATTATGATTGTAAGAGATGGGTAATTGGGTAAGCCGCTAAAATAACTTATTAATATATATATATATATATATAGTTATATGCGGGGGTGGGGCGGGGCGGGGTCCCTAGGATATGTATACTGAACCTTTACTCGTCCCATGACTCTCGACGGGTACAAAATTTGTATTCGCGTCAACGGTATAAAAAGTGTTCCCATATCCGTTATTAATGGGGCGGGACGCGGCGGGGCCCCGACGGGCGGTAAAATTGACATCCCTAACACTGTTTCTGTTTTATCAAAAAAATAAAACGCCTAAAACAAAGCTCATGCCAAATGATCCTAAATAACTTAATTAAACAATATAGTATTGGTACTGGTATCCCTTTGATATTTAAATTACCACGTACTTGTCAAAATATTGTCCCGATGATAAAATCAGAATCAAGCTTACAAACTTAATTATAAAAATATAAAAGAAAAAAGAAAAAAGGCAAGCTCAATCCTATCAGTTAATAACGGGTCAACTACATTGACCAATATTACACCTTGTTCTCCTGAGATTTATTTTAGCTACAAGAATGAGCAATATTGCACTCAGTTTTTTTTTCTTAAAAAAATTTGGTTCTTGTGTTCAACTTTTCTTTTCTTCACCTATTTCAATTTTTCCTAATAAAAATTAGCTCTCATGATAGATTTATTATATTGTGTGAAAAACAACTTAGGGAATTGACCATGGCTGTATTTTCCCTTTGCTTGCACGATACTTTTATTAATGATTGTGATAAATAATTCATCTGTCTTATATTTTGGATGGTATTTATAAGTCACCCTACTAATTATAGTTATCAATGTAGTTGGAGATTAATATTTTAACTATCCATCTACATTCTACAACCGACAGAAAAAGACAAATAAATTATATGGTAAATTGTAGTAGTAATTTACAAGAAACTAGAAACCGAAAACGAAAAATTACTAAAAGCTTGTGCATACATAGAATTATTATTATTATTTGGGTTAAGTACAAAAAAAACCCCTTAAACTATTACCATTTTACAAATAACTCCTGACCCCCTTAAACTATGAAATTGTTACAATTAAAGACAAATCCATCACAAAGACTATTTTACCCTTTTCATTCAAATTTTCATTCTTATTAAATTATCTTTATTATATTTTCTCTTATGTAAATATTAATTATACTATTTACCTTAGAAATATTTTTAGTATCAATTTATCTTAAAAATGAAAAAAAGAAAAGAAAAATAGGTTTGTAACTACCATTTTCTAATTTTATTAACTTATTATTAAAATTTTATTATTTATAATAAAATGTAATACAACCAATTTAAACTTTTTTATCTTAAAAAAATATCATTTTTTTCATACAATATATTGATGAAAATTTAATAAAATACTTTTGAAAAAAAATACCTTCTTTTCATGTAATATATTCATTAAAAATAAAAATAAAAATTAATTTTTTTAAAAAAATTATACTAATTTTTGTATTTAAATAAATAATTAAAAAAATTAAAGGTAAATTTATGCAAATTTAATGGAAAATATCTCATCAAATTAGTATGAATTTTTTCATAATTTATTTAGATAAAAAAAAATATATATTAAATGTAATTCAATAAGAAGGGGCATTATGGTCATTTAATGAAATATAGTATAGTCCTTGGGTTGCTGCAACAAAAAGAGATAGTTAAGGGGTTTTACGCACAAAATATAATTTAAGGGGATTATTTGCAAATTTAAATATAGTTTAGGGGATTTTATACACTTTACCATTATTATTTTTTTCCTTTGTGTGTGTATCTTTAATAAATAGTGGACTCTTGTCAATCTTTTTCATTTTATTGGATAAATTTTACTTATCTTCCTAGATTTATCATCATTGCACGCAATCCTTTTATGTTTTATAATTCCACTTGCTTTCTCTATTAGTTACTTTTTTACCATTTTGCTTATAAAATATTTACTATCATAATGTCATTTAATATATAAGAGAGGTAAAATATTATACTGAAAATAATTCCTAACAAAGATTAAAAATTCAAGAGAGATAAATGGGATTATAAAATGTGGAGGGCTCTTTGTGAAATTTATCATATTTTTTTTGGCATAGCCCTGACGGCTTAAGGGGAGCCAACACAACATAAGCAAAGCGATGTGGACTTCAGATTCTCACCTTAAAGATATTGATATCCAACTGTATCTTTGTCTTAATACAAAATTTAACTTTGGAAAAAAAGAATTAACAAAATATTAATCTAATCCTAAAGAAGAAATATTCCCTAAACCCCCAGTCCTTCCTTCACAGTTCACACACCCTTGCTTTACTCTCTCTCTACTATCTAAAAGGTCCTCTCTCTAAAAACTTCCCCCTTCTCTCACTTGCTGCGGGAGGTAGAAGAAATACAGGGGAGAAATGAGGGGTCCTTTGGGGGCAGTGATAGGGAGGTACCCTTCAAGCGATGGAAATGCTCAAATGGGTGGAATCATAAGGCACAACAGAAAATGCAGAGACGTTGTTTTTCTTGTCATCTTCATTGCCTTCTGGGTCGCAATGATTGTCAACTCCAGCTTTGGATTCAACCAAGGAAACCCATTGAGGTAAAAGTACAAAAAGTACCCTCACATCATCTCATCTGATTTTCTGCTTTTTATTCTAATCGATCACTCTCATCCTAAGAAAGATAGATTTGCTTTTTGTCAATTGGGTTCTGTCTGCTTTAATTAGAATAACCTATTTTTCCAGTGAAAAATGTTCAGGTGTACTCGTAATGAGGCTTCATGTGATTTTATGTCTTTTTAGTTGATTTTGTTGAAGTAACCCCCTCATGGTAGTGTAAGATGTTGAATAAGGGTAGCCTCCAAGGTTTATGCTAGGACACTATGTGTGTGTCTACCCGTGTGCTTATGACAAGTAGGTGGTTAGCAACTTAGCATCTTCCATTTTTATTTTCTGGGAGTATTTGATTGTATCTTTGAAGTCATGTGCTTGGAGATTAGAATTTTGTTATCAAAATAATAGTGCTTAATTCTTTGCTTAAAAAGTTACATCTTGGAGGATTTCAAACTCATTGATTGTTTGCTCAATTATCAGGCATATTAGTTGATATTTGTTTTCGTGACTTGATATGAATAGTTTATGGTAATCATTGATTGACTGGATAAATTGTTACATTGGATTCTTCCTCATATAATGCATTTTATTCTTCTCCACCCAATTGGTCCTTTGAGCAGATACGGGGTGGTGGTTTAGGAAATTAAAGGTGTAACCTAGGTAAAACTAACTTTGGTTCTTTGCAGAGATCTAAAGTTAGCTCTCCTCAGTGTAATGGGTTTAATATCCAGGACTAATTATTTAAAGGGACTTGAATACAACTGCATAAGAGGTAGAATGGTTTCCCTAGCATGGTTGGTTCCTCGGTCATTACTGGACATATAGTTGTGAAGCCTGCAAGAAGTAATATAGTTTAGCTAAGCCGTTATGGTAATTTATTAGAAAGGCTTCTTTCTTCAGGAGTTTCATCTTATTTGTATTTCTATTACAATAATTTTTTTGTGGGTTGGTTATCAATCATCAAGCAATATTATGAGATCTATTAGACTGTGTTGACCTTTATGTGGAGATAAGAATTTTACTGGTTTTTCTGGAAATGGACTCGTATGAAATGAGCATCTCACAAGTTTTTGTTAATTTAACAGGATTGGACAAAACATTGAAAGTGAAGAACTAAGATGCGTATGCATTCTGTCTTGTCTAAAGATAACAAAGAAGATTTTTATTTGAGTGTTCATCAGTGATACTGTGCTGATAATGTTTTGTATACTGCCTTTTGTGAGAATTTGGCAACTGAAACTACTGCCGAGTTCTCTGCCATTTGAAGTGCAAAACATATTGATTGTTCACTCGAATTTCAGACACTTGGTGGATATATTTATTTGTGATTGATTTGAAGATCTCCTACCATGCTTGACTGACTGGATGAATTGCCACGTTGGATTCATCCTTATATAATGCCTTTTATTTTTCTCTTCCAAATTATTTGATCTTTTGGTCCTTTGAGTGGATATACTGTGCTAGTTCAGGAAATCATGGGTTTTACCTAGGTAAAAGTAACTTGATTTTTTGCAGAGATCTACAGGTAGCTCTTCTTACTGCAATGGGTTCATAGTCAGAACTAATTAAATAAGGGACTTAGGTAAAGTGGTAGTTGGTTTTCTTAGCATTGTGGGTTACTCACTACTAGACATATAGTTATGGAGCCTGGAAGAAGTAAGTATAATTGGCTAAGTCGTGAGGATGATTTATTATATTAAGGCTGCTTGCGTCAGCAGTTTCATCTTGAAATACTTTTATTACTTTAAAATTTCTGTTGGTTGGTCATTAAACTTCAGGCAAGGGTGTTGGCCTTTGGGCTGAGATTAGAAGCATCTCACTGGTTATTTTTGAGACGGACTCATAAGAGATGAGCGTCTCTCAAGGTTTGCTAATTCAACAGAACAGGACAATTCATTGAACTTGCAAAACTAAGATACGTTTGCATCTGGCTTGCCAAAAGATAATGAAGATGATTTTATTTGAGTGTTTTGTGAGAATTTGGCAACAGAAACTAAAAACATTCACACAATGAAGTCACTCAGAAATTATTCTTGAGTAATCTTGACAGGTTTACTATAAATATGCACTTTAATAGAAGGAAGTTTTCTCTTTATAGGTGTTGAACACTGTTCGTAATATATTTGCCAGTTGTTGACAGAGAATTCAAACATGCTTTACAAACTTTTTGTGAAAATTACCTATCCATAATTTCATAATTGCCCACTCTTTCATCAAAGAGATCTTGTTGCATTTGTTCTTTCAGTAACTAATATGTTGCTATTTCAATTTTGTCAATTAAATAAGAAAGATGGAAAGATTGAGTTGTCCAAATAAAATAAAAAGCTTGATAGCAGGACTGCCAAACGGTTGAAGCCAAATCCTGAAGAAGGCTGACAATAAATTCCCTAGTATTCCGTTGATTTGTAGCCGAAGATTCCAGAATTCTATTATATGAATAAATTGTCATATCTTCTGGAAAAAAAGGAAAGAATTAGTAGCAATAAATGTTTTAATCTTGTTATTGGTTGTGGTTTTTGACTGCTGATACAATGTCTGACCACTTGAGTTTTCATCTTAAAATCGTCTGAGTAACTTGCCTCGTGAGATTCTGGTGATTCAGAATGGTAAGTTAACGATGCATGAATCAAAAGGTTTTAATGGCTGGCCATTTATTTCTGTGTGCTTACTTCGTATAATTATATGACCTTTGCTTCTTTTCTTCCCATTGTTATGATAAGACGTGTTTTGAATTGCCAGGCTAAACTATGGGCTGGACTATAGAGGAAATGTGTGCGGCGACAGACATGCTGACCTTCATGAATTGGAACTCACCTACTGGTTAAATCCTAACCAGGTTTACCAGAGTGGTTTAAAGAAAACCAATTTCAAGCTTTCTAATGCACGCAGTATCTGCTTGATGGATTGCCCTATACCGTCAGAAGATGCCCTACTTTGGGTGTGTGATTATCCAGAGGGAGATGTTCATCTCTCAACTAATGATTGGATTGATAGGAATTATGATTATTTTGCTGACCTTACTCCCGAACTGAGGAACACCTCTCTTCAACTTCAAGGTCCTTGTTACCCTGTAATCTTCCCCAGTGTAAATGGTAAGTTAATTAGAGACGTTGCACATCAAGATGTCTGAGAGTGGGATAGAAGCTGTAGACTTAAATGGATTGATAATTATTTGTCTTTCGTTTTTCCAGTTTATGAGTTTATTGCTCTTATTTAAATAATCACGAACTCTTAGTTTTTGTAAATTCTTTCTTCTTAATCGTTTCTTGTTCTGTTTCAGTTTATTGGAGCTGCCAATTTATTGCTCGTGCATCAAATGCGTCTTTACGGCATTGGCAGCAGATGGGTGGAGTCAACGTCGTTGAGGACATTCTAGTAGATAAATCCATTCACAGGTCCATCAATTCTCGGTCTGCGGTCTTAAAGGTTGAGTAATCATTTGTCTATGACCTGCTCTACAGTGGTCTCAATGTTGTAGTACTCTGCTCATTTAGCTCCCCTGAATTCCTATTATTAAAATCATGGTTGGAGAAGACAAAATACATTAATGATCTTGTATGTGCATGAATTATGCAATATATTATTTTTCGATGTTCACGTCAAATTTTCAATATCTAAATTCTGTTTTTGTTCCATACTTTAAAATTCTTTTAAGACTTCCAACCATCCTATTCCATATACTCTAGTTTCCTTCTAAACTTGTGTTGAATATTTAGCATCTTATTCTTAAATTAATCTACTTGCATCCTTTTAAATTTTACTACATTTTTCTACTGTTTCATATCTATTTTCTTGTTCTTTATTATCCTTTAATATATGCATTTAGAGCCATCAGCGGATGTTGCCATGTTAACTTCTCTCCTGGAACAATCTTACAATCTTTCCATATAAGTTGGTCTACTCTTCTAGTTAGTAAACAATCAATCTTCTGTTTATTTAATCTGGTTTTAGAGGTCAATAATTTTTCATCTCTTTTTAAAATGAGCACTCTTTTTATAAGTTGATATTTATGCATAGTCTAACGTCGCCTCTCTAGCGACATTTCATCTCAAGATCTGTATCTTCCAAGTATCGTCTCATTCCGTCGACGATCTTTTGCAGTATTGCCGTTGAAGTTTTCTCTCCTTTACGCATTCCTTGAATTTATATATCCATACTTTTTTGGAAGTTATGCTTTTGCGTTTAGTCTTAAATGGGATGCTCAAGTGCCAATTATATAAACTCTATTTTCTCCCAATGAGTTCTATTGATGTTCTCCTTTCCCATTTTCTAGTCACAATTACAACAACTTTTATATTCTTGTCAACTTTGATTCTGCTCCCATTTTATGTTATATCTTGTATTTTCAATTGCCTTAACTATCTTTCACATCCACATAGTTTGTCATAGGTATACTATATTAACCCTTGCCCATTTTCACAAGCATTGAGGTGCTAATCAGTTATTGGTTCTTGCCAAGAGGTCTGCAGATGGAGTTCTTTACTGTCTATTACGAACTTCCTTCAATTTGCTATAACAAGTTATAAAATTGCATATATACCTTACTCCTTGTGGAACTTATTTAGGACTTGCCATTGATATGTTAATTGCAGATTGTGTGCACTAGAGTTGAAAATTATTAATTGTTTGTTATTTGCAGAGATATGTGGCTGATATTGGGAAGGCATGGCCAGTATTGATTGTTTGTGGAGGAATCCTGCCACTGTTTCTGTCAGTGGTATGGCTTTTGATGATTCGGCATTTTGTTGCTGGAATGCCATGGATAACAGTCATCCTCTTTAATGTTCTCATTATTTCAGTCACAATGTTCTACTACTTAAAAGGTCAGGATATATCCTTGTATTAAAGAAGACAATTGCTCATTATATAAAATGTTAATCCAAATACAACGAGAAGTTAACTTACAACTTACATAAGTGATGTTCTGCTGAAAGCAACATACATTCGTGCATTTGTTTGAAATCAACACTTTTTTTATTTGGTATTTTCATTTAATAATAACAGACAATGGAGCTTGCCATTGCCAAATCCTCAATAACCATTTCACCTGGCTACATGTGCCTACTATTTCACATGGCTGCATGAAAATTTTCTCACCAGTTATCTCTATTTTGGCCCATTTATTTAGTGAATTTATATTCCATCATATATTTCTCATTCTATTTTTAGGCCATACCATGTCCTTGTAACGCTTTCAACTTGAATTACTCCACCTTTTCTTGGTAGGTAGTCTTAATATTTGTTGCATGGTAGTCTCAATTGGGTAATTGGGTTTACTCTCATCTTATCCTCAACCAATACCATCTCTAACTTCTCATTGTTTTCTTTCCGTTCCAATTCTGTATTTCCTGCAGCTCAGAATATTTGCACTTTCTTCTTAATTACACTTGGATCCCAGAATTATTCTCGAATGCAGAGTGTTTTTTTTACTAAGGTTGTCAGTCAGCCAAGCACTCACCTAGGGAAATTCCTAAATTTGATAGCCATATATTATACACTAACCACGAAACACTCCAGTTAAATTTATTCTCTTCACCTACTCGATAGCTCCATAGCAACTTGGTCCAATCTCCAGATTATCCACTTCTTGTGAGTGGTTAAATCAAGATAATCAAAATGGTAGCTCTTGGTAATTTTCCAAGTCGTGGCTCTAGTTATTTAACTACTCCCTTTTTTCTTTCGTAGTTTCACTGCAAGTGAAGTTTTTAACACGATCATGTTTTTTTATTATCATTATTTTTATTTTTACATCTCTCATCATACTTTCACTGTTAGTGAATGCCTTGACACAGTCATGTTATCCAGAATTTTTTTGGCTAAATCTCTTTATAGATTTAGTCTAACATTTACCCTTGTTCTGGTCAGAGTTGGTGAATAATATGTATCTACATATTGATGTTAGCCTGTCACAGTCAATTCACTGGCCCCTCACGTTTCTTATTCTCTCAACGTGAAAGCATTCTTCTGACAGTAATAATTCACATCCTCTATACTTTGGTTTGCATTGTGTTAGAATGTTATATATATATATATATATGTTGGGCCATTATGTAATTACATTATATTAGTAGGCCCTTGTGTTATTAAGGAGGCTTGTATCCCTTATATAAGCCTATATAGGCTTATTTGGTAGAGTGTCGGTAAAATATATATACATTTGTTCTCTCTATTCTCTCTATCTCTTATGATAAACAACATGGTATCAGAGCGGGTTGTAGTTGTGATTGCATCTGGGTTGGGTTGTTCTTCTACAAATCAAAATCAAGATCGAAGCCAACTCTGTTCTTCGCTGAAGATTTGTTCGTCGTTCTCAGATCTGACTCGCTGAAGATTTGTTCGTCGTTCTCAAATCTGACGCCTTTTGTTTTGCTGGTCGAGGCTTCCTTGGCTGTCGCAAGTTGCAGAAGCTCCATCATCGCGATCCCTCTCCGCTCCGTTGTTAGATCGCTGTTTTTTTTTTTTTTGTTGTTGGGTTGTCGTCACCGCTGCAAGGGCTAGGGTGTGTACTAGCCTTGTTTTTCCATTGCGAATCTCGGGTGCTGGAATTTCTTGTTGGTGGCAGAGTTCTGGTTCTCGCCGGCGCTGATTGTGAAGGAGAAGGGTGGTGTTTGGCTGCAGGAGTGAGGCTATTCCAACCCTGGTTTACTAAACCTGGGATAGTTATTCCAACCCTGGTTTCGTAAACCCGGGATAGCCCAGATTCGGCCCGTTTGACCAGATCCAATCCGAGGTCCGATCCGTCCCGTCCGTCCAGACCTGGCCCGCTCATCCGGATCCGACCCGTTATCCGGATCCGACCCGTTTGCCCAGATCCGAACTGTTCTCGGATCCGACCCGTTTGCCCAGGTTCGGCCCGAATACCAATTCTGCTTCATATTTTCTTCTCTGTTTTGCTGGGTAAGACATGGCCTCCACTTCAGATTTGTTTTCTCCCACTTCTGGTCTTCATTCTTCCATGACTTCTGTTAAACTCAATGGGAAGAACTATATACTGTGGGCTAAATCAGTTAAATTTTTTCTCAAAGGTAGAGGCCTTGGTAATCATCTGACTAAAGAGAAACTCAAGGAAACTGATGCTTCTTTTGATGCATGGGAAAAGGAAGATGCTCAGATCATTTCTGTGATGATAAACAGTATTGAACCCCAAATTAGTACAACTTTACTTTATTTGGATACTGCAAAGGAGATATGGGACAGATTGTAGCAACTGTATTCTGGGATAGGTAATATCACTCGTGTTTATGAGCTTTGTAAGCAGTATTTTCATCTTGAACAAGGTAGTCACAGTATAGAAGAGTATTATTCCAAAGTTATGGGCATTTGTGAGGAGTTGAATATGTATCAGCCCATTACTTCTGATGTTCGCAGTATGCAACAACAACGTGAGGACTTTAATGTTGTTCGTTTTCTTACTGGTTTGTCCTCAGTTTATGAGTCTTTTCGTTCACAGATTATGGGCAGTCCCACACTTCCATCTCTTGCTGATGTGTTTTCTAGACTTCAGTGCGCTACACTTGTCAGTGATACCTCCACTTTGAATACTGGGCAGAGTGGTGAGCGTTCAGCATTGATTGTTTCAAAGGGTGAAAATACTGTTTTCCGTGGAGGTCGTGGGGGACACTCCACACGTGGCGCTCGTGATTCACGGGGAGGACGTGGCCGTGGCTGTGGCAGGGAATCACGAAAATGTACTCATTGTGGTCTTTCTAATCATACTGTGAATTTTTGTTGGGACCTTCATGGCAAACCATCTAGTTATGCAAATCAAGTTTCCTCCTCTCTGAATGATGTTGCTTCTGGATCTCATAATGTAGCTGAATCAGATACGGTCCTTGTCTCACGTGATGAGTATACTCAGTTTTTGTCTTATAAGCAAGCATCTAATTCATCTTCCACGGCTACCTTTGCCCAGTCAGGTACTGCACCCACATGTCTATTGTCTTCCACTCGCAGTCCTTGGATCATAGACACTGGAGCATCCGATCATATGACTGGATGTTTTTCTCTTCTATCTGATTTTAATTCTGTACCTCCTTCTCAAAGAGTTACCCTTGCTAACGGTTCCTCCGCTAAGGTTTCAGGTTTGGGGACAACTCAACTTAGTGATTTCTTGTCTCTCTCATCTGTTTTATATGTTCCTCAGTTTCCCTTTAATTTAATGTCTGTCAGTAAGCTTAGTAAATCTCTTCAGTGCTCTGTTATCTTTTATCCTACTTTTTGTGTGTTTCAGGATCTCAAGATGAAGAAGACGATTGGTACGGGGAATGAAGCTGGTGGCTTATATTACTTTGATGTGGCACCTTATCCTGTGGCTCTTCAGTCTTCTCTGTCTCCATTCCAGTGGCACTGTCGTCTTGGACACCCGTCACTTCAAGTTTTGCAGCGTCAAGTTCCTAGTCTTAGTAATTTGAAATTCTTGTCATGTGAGGTTTGTCAACTTAGTAAGTACCATCGTGTGTCTTTCAAGTCTAGGGTTAATAATCGTGTCTCTAGTCCTTTTCATTTGGTTCATTCAGATGTATGGGGTCCAATAAAGCATTCTTCAATCAATAAATTTCATTATTTTGTGACATTTGTGGATGATTATTCTCGCCTGACTTGGTTGTTTTTAATGAAAGATCGTTCTGAGTTATTTTTAATTTTTCAAAAATTTCGAAAAGAAATCAAAACTCAGTTTGGCTGTCCAATTCGTATTTTACGTTCTGATAATGCTAAGGAATATTCTGCAACCCCTTTTGATGCCTATCTTAGTGATAAAGGAATTATTCATCAAAATTCATGTGTTTATACTCCTCAACAAAATGGAGTTGCAGAACGTAAGAATCGACACCTCTTAGAAGTAACCCGTGCTCTTTTGTTTCATATGCGCATGCCTAAACGGTTTTGGGGTGATGCTATTCTTACTGCCTGTCATCTTATTAACCGTATGCCGTTATCTGTATTAGATGGCAAATCTCCACATTCTATATTATTTCCTGATTCTCCTTTGTTTTCTCTTACTCCTCGAGTTTTTGGCTGTGTCTGTTGTGTCCACAATCTTGGTCCTGGTTTTGATAAACTTGACCCACGTGCCACAAAGTGTGTATTTCTTGGATACTCTCGTTCTCATAAAGGTTATCGTTGTTATAGTCCTGTTTCTCAACGGTACTTTATTAGCGTGGATGTGACCTTTTGTGAGTCCGTCCCATATTTTTCAGATAGTGATTCAATTCTTGATATTACTTCTGAGTCGCTTCTTCCTGCGGTTCCACTTCCCTCACTTTCTCTTCAGCCTAGATCTCCTTTGCCTGCCCCGTTACAGGCGTACACTCGAAGACCAAAGCCATCTGCTGTCGTGCCTCCTCCGTCGTCTTCAGAGTCTTTGGATCCAACACCTTCCACTGTGTCTGAATCCTTGCCTATTGCACTACGTAAAGCTCCTCGCTCCTGTGTTACTAAACATCCCATTGCTCAGTATGTCTCTTATAATTCCTTATCGCCATCTTTCTCATGTTTTTCCTCTCAATTGTCTACTACATTTGTTCCTAAGACTGTGCATGATGCTTTGTCTGATTCGGGCTGGAGGAAAGCCATGCAAGATGAAATTGCTGCTTTGCATCAGAATGACACGTGGAATCTTGTTCCTTTATCTCCAGGTGTCAAACCAGTTGGTTGTCGCTGGGTCTACATTGTGAAGTATTTTCCAGATGGGTCCGTTGAGCGGTTAAAAGCTCGTCTTGTTGCCAAAGGTTATACCCAGACTTATGGTATTGACTATGATGAGACGTTTGCCCCTGTTGCTAAGATTTCTTCTATTCGTGTTTTGATTTCTCTTGCTGCTAATAGACATTGGCCTCTGTTTCAGTTAGACGTTAAAAATGCTTTTTTGCATGGTGACTTAGTCGAAGAGGTTTATATGGAGCAACCACCTGGGTTTGTTGCTCAGGGGGAGTCTCTTCACACTGTTTGTCGCCTTAAAAAGGCCCTATATGGATTGAAACAATCTCCCCGGGCTTGGTTTGGAAAATTCTCTGAGGCAGCATTAAAATTTGGTCTTAACAGATGTCAGATTGACCATTCGGTATTTCACCAGCGCACTAAAGCTGGCTTCATCTTTCTTGTTGTATATGTAGATGATATTGTGATCACAGGTGATGATTCTGAAGGCATTGCTAAGTTGAAGTTGTTTCTGCAATATCGATTCCACACTAAAGACTTGGGTAAACTTAGGTATTTCTTGGGTATTGAAGTTGCTAGATCCAAGAAGGGTATAAGTTTATTACAACGAAAATATGTGTTGGATTTATTAGAAGAAACAGGTATGTTGGGTGGTCGCCCGGTTGATGCTCCTATGGATTCGAATACAAAACTTGTGTCTGATGAGGGTGATCTATTTAATGATCCGGGCAGATTTCGTCGTCTAGTTGGGAAATTAATTTATCTCACTATCACTCGACCTGATATTTCATATGCAGTTAGTGTTGTAAGTCAGTTTATGGGAGCTCCTAGAATGCCACATTGGATTGCTGTTCTTCGGATTATCCGATATCTCAAGCAAGCTCCAGGTGTTGGGTTACTATATAAATCAAATGGTCATCTCAGGGTGGAAGGTTTTACAGATGCCGATTGGGCTGGTTCTCCTTCAGATAGGAGATCTACTACAGGCTACTGCACATTTGTAGGAGGCAATCTTGTTACATGGCGAAGTAAAAAGCAAACGGCGGTAGCTCGATCTAGTGCTGAAGCTGAGTATAGGGCAATGGCTCATACTACTAGTGAGTTGACCTGGATACAACATTTTCTAAAAGAACTTGGGTTGACAGTTGAAGTTCCTACTCCATTGTTCTGTGATAATCAAGCAGCAGTTCACATTGCCTCAAATCCTGTGTTTCATGAGAGGACCAAACATATTGAAGTTGATTGTCACTTCATTCGAGAAAAGATATTGCTTGGGAGCATCTCTACTCCATTCGTGAAGTCTGAAGATCAATTAGCTGATATGTTTACCAAAGCATTGGGTCATAACCGGTTAAGAATTATTTGTTCCAAGCTAGGATTATTTGATATTTATTCTCCAGCTTGAGGAGGAGTGTTAGAATGTTATATATATATATATGTTGGGCCATTATGTAATTACATTATATTAGAAGGCCCTTGTGTTATTAAGGAGGCTTGTATCCCTTATATAAGCCTATATAGGCTTATTTGGTAGAGTGTCGGTAAAATATATATACATTTGTTCTCTCTGTTCTCTCTATCTCTCATGATAAACAACACATTGCATTGTTCACGATTCCACGGTTGTTAAAGGCCTTGTATCTAGGAAACATGGATGCTCTTCTAGGGGGTGCCATGGCTTGTCCAACATGGACATGCATGGGACACAGCCGGATCATGTGTCCAGCACGGTTAGGAGTGTCTTGGAGTTTGGATACTTTACTAGATTGGACACGGATGGGATATTGCCGGGACACGTTAAGGACATGTTTGGGACACGGTAGGGTAGTTTCGCAATTATTTTCTTTAAAAAGGGATTCTAATGCAATTTTAAAACATATTATGGGTCAATAGAAAAATAATAATGTCAACTAGGAAAAAAAAGAAAAATAATGTAAAGTTTTAGGGAAAAAAACAAAACCCCCATCCAACTTAGCCCCAAACAGTGATTATATTCATGTAATGAGGATAAAATGAGCAAAAATCAATTTTTTGAATAGTTTGATTTTTCTTGTCTTTGTCCATATCGTATCATACCCAGCGTCCCATGTCTGCATTGGTGCTTCATAGCCTTGTATAAAAGAGATTTTTTAAGTGAACCCAGATTCCCCAACTTTGTTAATTAGTAGCCTACGAAGTAGAAATTGCACTGCCCTTACTCTAAACTATATCACCAACCACATATAGGATACCCATTGCTTGAGTATAATGTTTCATTCTAATGGCTTGCTTGAATAGTTCTGGTGCATCTGTCACTGTTTTGGTAAACCCTTTGAATGCTAAGAGAAGTTGTTTACTTCAATCTGTTGTTTATGGCTTTATGCTTGAATGTTTGGATAGCAATAAATGAACTATAACTGTGAATTGTTTTATTTATTTCTTTCTTTTAGCTGGATGGATTGGAAACGATGTTGTCTCGCCCATCATTGGTGAGCATGATCCATATTATCACGTATCTGCAAGGGTGGGTTTCCAACACTGACCATAATCTTATTTAATGAAGCTATTATATGATTCTGTGATTTATTTATTTGAGTTTGCATCTTTTAGGAGCTTAACCATCTACGCGCTGTTGCTGTTCTCATGACTGTTGTAATGGTTGTTGCTATCCTCTCATCAATTGCCATTGTTCGACGAATCCTTATGGCAACCTCTGTCTTGAAGGCAAGTATGATGGTTTTACAAACAATAGACATAAAAAAATGATTTTCAAATTTCTCAAGAAACCTTAACATAAATCTTTTAGTGCATTAATTATGACGAGGTTTAAGCTTCAATTTCAAGTTAAGCTCTGAAAATATTTGGAGCTGAAAATTAACGAAAACGTACCAGTTCAACTTGTAAATTGCCTTGAATATTGATGTTGTATTGAACCTTGTCAAAGATGCAAGTAAAAAATTTTATGTGCACTTATGGAGGTTTCTGAAGTTCAGATATATGTACAAAGGCATTGATACATGCAAGTGCACCTGGGGGATGGATTTGCTCTTTCTGGATGCCACGTCCTCATTTAGGGCTTAAAAGTAGTTTGTGTCTAAATCTTCATGAAGATCTTATCCTCTCAAATAGCCTGAAAAGGAGAATGTTATCAATCTAGACTCGTTTTTCCTACGTCTACCACACATGCATTGCTATACCATTTCTGTAGATTGTTGGCCACTCTGGCAATGGAGAGCCTTTATTATTGGATTGGGTTTCTGTGACATGAATACATAGATGGTATATATACATTAAGTTGATTATTTTCCTTGTTGTAACGATTTGTTAAATATCTGCATGCAGGTTGCTGCAAAGGTCATTGGAGAAGTTCAAGCACTTATAATTTTTCCAGTCATACCATACACTATCCTTGCAGTTTTTTATATGTTCTGGTTTTCAGCTGCTCTACATCTTTTTAGTTCTGGTCAGGTCGTCCAGAATGACTGCAAGTCCAACTGCTGTGCTTATGATCTTGGGTCAAAACGGCTGAGATGTGATAGTTGCTGTGGTTTTAGAGTCCACTACACATCTCACATTGCAGCTGCAATTCTCTTCCACTTGTTCGGATGTTATTGGGCTACACAGTTTTTCATAGCATGCTCTTCAACTGTGATTGCAGGGTCTGTTGCTTCCTACTATTGGGCTCGCGGTGAAACATCGGTAATCTATTAATCCATATGCATAAATATTATAAATTGTGCACATCAAATTATATGGACATTAGATTCATGTTCATTTTACCCGTCAATACTTGTGGACATGGTCAAACTCATCCACAACACTGAAATGCTAAACTTCATTGCCTTATCCCTCTAAATAAATGATGTTTTGAATTAGAAATTTTCTGTTAACAAGCTTTACTATTCAGTGACGGACCAGAAATTTGTTTCAGTGGAGGCGATTTTAAACAATAATGAGGTAAAAAAAAAAAAAAAAAAAATCAACTAAAATAATATTTAACTTAATTATAGATTGGTAACATTTTCGTAAATTACATTCACAATTGTCCTCAACTAGTTTCATGATTTTAAAATGTTACAACACTACTAAGTATATCACCAAGGGTAGTAACTCAGTGGTATCCCTCTACCTCTCAAAGTGAAAGGTTCTGAGTTTCACATCTTTATAAGGGTAAATTGTGTATGTGTTTTATTCTCAGGGAGAAAAACCAACGCTGTTAAATTTATATTTCTTAATCTCTGTGTGACCGTCCTAACTGATCAACGGCAAGGTCATAAGAAAATAAACTAATGGATATAGTTTGTCTTTTTTTGGCTTAATCATAAATTAATTATGACTTATCTTTCCGTACTTGCACTTCTTCCATAAAGAGAAGATTGGCAACGAAAAAAAAAGAAAGGTTCTTAGCCAAAAGAACCAACTGAATAGAAAGAAAATTATTTATTTAGTTATTCAAAAAGAATCGTGGTTGATGGAGGGAGGGAAGGTTGATGGAGACAAGAGGTGATTTAGTTCTTGGCTATTGTTAATGTGCATAGACGTGAGTGAGAGAAGAAAAAAATCAATGGGGGCAAAGGATAAAAGTTTTGGGGTATATTTATCCAAAATTTTATAGCTAAAAATAGGAATTTTAAAATTCCAGTGGGGGCACTGCACTGGGCTTCACATGGGCCCGTCCCTGCTATTATTATTATTATATGAAACTATCTTTAATTATTACTCTCTTAGCTGATCCTTTTAGCATTATGTACATGCAGTTAAAGAAAGACTTTTTTCAAAAAGAAAAAATAAAACCTAGAAACTAAATAAAACATGTTCTTTTTTTTTTCCTTGGTCTAAATAAAACGTGTTCTTCAATCACATTTTATTAAGTTTTCACTAACAACTGATACAGGCGTTAGATTTTGAGACCCATAACCAGACTATGGTTGCATATTCATCACTATTTGTAAACACGATAATTTCAGACCCTGTGAATTTTATTTGCCCAAATTTCAACTCCAAGTAACCTTTATCTTCTTGTTGGAACAGTTAAGAATCTGTCATTTCCCTTCATATGATGCCTGTGCCATACTCTTCATCAGACCTATCCGTTGCCTTTAATAAATAAAAAAAAAAAAGTTTCAGGATCCGTGTTCAACAACTTCATCATCAAGAAAACCTAATACTCCAACTAATTAGGTCATTTATATGTATCCAATGTCATCATTCAGCTTTGTTGGGTTTCAGTACATTGTTTCTGAATGGTTTGTACATACATTTATATTCCATACACTAATAAAAGTTTCTTCAGATTGCTAGATAATATATGTGATTTAACATCTATAATTAGCAAATGCAGGGACTTGAGATCATTTTTCTTGGTTGATTTGGATTTCAATTCCTTATGCATTTTTTTTCCTCTGACTAAATGTGTATATTTGTTGTAAATGCAGCCTGAGATTCCATTTCTCCCAGTTTTCTCTTCAATGAGGCGGCTTATGCGTTACAGCCTAGGGTCTGTGGCTATTGGCTCTCTAATTGTAACATTTGTTGAATCCGTCCGATTTATACTTGAGGCAATTCGTCGCAAACTGAAAGTTGCCAATACCATCCCTGAATCCTTGGTTGGAAGGGTGGCGTTTTATTCTTCTCGATGTTGCCGGAAGTGTTTCGAGTGGACCATCAAATCTGTGAACCGCAATGCCTATATTATGGTAATTACTAAAAAATTGGTATCAAGCAAAGTGTGTGGACATGTGTTGGTGGTGTTTGCACAATGCTTTCCTTTAAGTTCATATTCTAGGTAATAATTTTCTTTCACAGAGGGGAATATGCTATCTTGGCATAAAAAAAGGGGAACATTCATGTGGTAGGCATGAATAATTTACTGCACTGCCTTCCATGTGGTAGGCATGCCAGGAGCCAAATATTATTATTTTTTTTTTCCTAGTTGGTACTCACACACACATGCCTCCACCGAGGTTCGAACCCCTTAACTCCCTTTGGACGGTAGGCATGCCAGGAGCCATTAGTTCTCACATGGAAGATATGTTCATAAAAGATCATATTATATGGTTATGATTACTGCCAGTTTTGAGAAATTACCTTGTAATGGTTTTCAACATGTTACATCATGTAAGGTATGCTACCATTGGATTTTAAATGTCACTCTTCTTTTATTTCTGAAAAAAAATCCACTGGTCTGGTGGATTTTCACATGACAAGCTAAGCCATGATACTTATGAAACCTAGCTACATAAAATCCAATTCACTGGAGAGTCAAAGGGAATTGAATTTTTGCATTCTGTGACTCTATATTTTTGTTATTACAGGTTTCGCCATATGACTTCCAGTCACTACAATTTGAACTCCTCTCTCTCTCCCCTCCAAGATTCTCTGTTTAAAACCCATATTATGCATACCTTAATGCAAGTACATACTTGATATATGTTGGAACTATATTTTGGTGTCTTAATGATTATGTATCTCTGTTTCTTAAACTTGTGCTTCTGACTCTTGCAGATTGCCATAACAGGCAAAGGCTTCTTTCGAGCTTCTGAGATCGCTACAGAACTAATCATCAGTAACATCCTTCGAATAGGGAAGGTTAATGTGATTGGAGATGTTATTCTCTTTCTTGGGAAGTTATGTGTCAGCCTTTCATGTGCAGTTTTTGCTTTCCTCATGTTGGATACTCACAAATACAGATCTGCCCATAACAAGATATCTTCCCCACTGTTTCCTGTCCTGGTATGGTTCTCATGATTTACTCTTGCATTTTGAATGGTTCTTTAAATAGTTTTCTGTAACTATTGAAGAACAGTAATCAAAGTTTAACAAATCTTTAGTTGATAAATAGCTGGTTAAAAATAATAAAAGAATACAGTTAAGGTAGGGAAGCAACCCGGAAAAAGAATAAAAATACGATACATGGGAAAACAATTTTGGATAATCTCTTTGATTTGATGCTCAGTCACTACTCTTATCAGATTGGGTTGAACAGGATGGTTTGTAGTGATGTTCAGATTTTATATTTCGGTAATTTATATGGGTTGTAGCTACTAAAATAGAAGGTTGAGGTTTCAAGTCCCCATAGGGGCAAAAAGTGGAAGTGTGAGTAGAGAAAGAGTGTAAGGGTTCTCTATAGCTCAATAAGGAGTTATTAATTGTAAAGGTTTCATTTATTTATTTATTTGGTAAAAGGAATAAACAAAGGTTTTGATTAAACAAGAAAAGAAATCCTTATACTGTGCTATTGGATGAGGGTTCGTAGCTTGATGATTGTAACATTAATAATCTATGGTATTGAAGAATTGGCATAAGGTGAAATTACTGTTCTGGTAGATTTGGTCTATTTGACGGATACTGGCATCTCCTGCAAATGGAAGAGTAATTCCTGCCATTTTGATAGAGTATGCCTATATGCAAAGTTCGAGTTTGATTAATTTTCTTTGCTTTCTTATTTTTGTTTCTTCTTTTTCTGCCAGTGAATTATTAGAATGTACATAGAAAAAGAAGTGAGAGTAAAGATATTATTCTGGAAGTTCTCACTAGTCATTTCTTCTCATTTGTGTTTCTTTTCTTCCTTCCCTTCAAAAGTATACAAGATAATTTATATTTTAGTCTTGATGTCAACCAGAAAGCTTGCGAGTAGGCTGTCACACACCCTCCCCCCCAGTGGGGGTAGAAAAAACACATTACAAACTATCAAGAAAAAGACAGTAGACAGCACATCACACTCACCAGCATGCTCACATTGCTAACAGAACACGCTACATACTTCTCTCATTAATCCCCGCTTTCCTTTTCCATTTGGAAGTATAGTGAAATGTTTCTTTGTAAGGAGACTACTTCCACTCTTACAATTCACATTGTATCGGAGTTAATACTTGTGAATCCTCATTTGTTTATTGCAGGTGTCCTGGGCTCTAGGTTATGTTGTTGCTACTCTTTTCTTTGCGGTTGTGGAGATGTCAATCGATACTATCATCCTTTCGTTTTGCCAGGATTCTGAAGAGCACCAAGGGACAGCCCAATATGCTCCTCCCCTTCTCATTGAGACCCTCAATGACCAAAATGAGATGCAAAGACTCACTCAGTGAAACCTTTGAAAGACCTTAGTGCCTATTTTTCTTTTCACCTTGCTTAATGGAAATTCAGATATTGTAATATGATATAGTGTCTCGTTCCTTTCTCATCTTCATTTCCTATCTAACAACTTAATTTTTGCTGATCTGTTCACCCCATTCCTGAATAGTTCTACACTCCCCCAATGTGTATATATTTTCTTTGGAAGAGATCAGAATGAGTAGAAGCAACTTTATTATTATATGGGTTGAAACACAGTTTCAAATCTTAACATGGTGGGAGTGAAGTATCAGAATAAATTCTAGAGTCAGGCCTATAATTAGTCGGTCCCATTGTGAGACAAGAATGTTGCTATATTTGAAGATGTGCCAAATATAAACAGGGTTGAATGAATGCCTTCTAAAACAGTCATTTTGTTTTCACAAAATATTTTTTTGGAGTGGGAACATGTTAGAATCATATAATGTAACAGGTAGAGGTTATCTCGAAGGTTTCACCAATGAAACAGAAAACCAAGATTGAAAGGACGTGTACCCATATCAAAACCCCAGGCAAGCTGCTTACCAAAAGCTAAAGCCTATTGAAAATATATATTTTAAAAAAAAAGGAATCCAGAAATTCATCAACTCTGTTTAGCAATTAGTGCTTTGTTAAAGGCCTTGGTAAATCTAAATTCCGAAACTCCTGCAGTTGTGTACAGAGCCAAATTCCCAACTGGGTCTTAGACACAACAATCTCACTACACTGTTACTGATGGTATCTCCGACACATCTGCAGCGTAATACCTTCCCTCTTCACCAGGCAACCAATAACAGTGTGGTAATACTAATAATAATATCATCAATATTATGGAGAAAGAATTCATGCTGCTAAGCAAATTTTAGGAAATAGTGACTTCTGCTGAGAACATTAATTGGCAACGTATTGAAATGTCCTTCCAAAATTAACCAAATTTCTCTTCCAAATCATTTTAAATGCAAAGAGATTTAGTGAAATTTAGCCGTTCTCTTCATTCCTGTAGTCCTGCATATGATATATATATATATATTATTAACACGGGAGTGTACATTTGAAGCGAAAGACTAAGGACTTTTGGATAACAAGAAAGTGAGCAACTAAAGTGCACATTCCGAGAATATTATTAACTTTAGCATCACAATCCTCCAAAGCTGTTTTTCATGTACACTGCTATAGTTGAGAGCAGTAAATCAGAATTTCAATCCAATCTCAAACAAGAATCAACGGAGAATTATAACGTATGTATTTAAATGAGCAAGTAGCACATCTTACACTAAGAAGTTACAGGACCAAGACATGGGTGACATGTCAACAATAACAATAACGAATGAAACCTGCAGAATGTCTCATTTATGCTCCCTTTTGGGTGGGAGTCCTTAATCCAATTCCAACGCTAACCAGTTTGTAGAAACAATTGCTAATGTAAAAACTTCAATCACTGAAAGAAGAAATGCAGATTTTGTTCCTCTGAATGTATGTCAACATGAATAAAAACAATTAATATAGGTTCAAAAGTATTGCAACCCAAGCTGCGAACAACTCAAAAAAACTTCAAACAATTTTTACCAGCTCACTAGGTAATCAACACTGATCATCATCATCCTTGCCTTAATTCTCTCTCCAAGATTTTTTATTTACACGCCATTTCACCTACTATATTTAACTTTTTAAAGTCATTCTTAATAACCTCATCCCAGGTAATCTGTTACTCCTTTTTAGCAAAGCTCAAACGTTTTGGGTTGATTTCATCTATTCGGATCACAATTACCCAACCAGCCTCTTCCTCGGTCCATTTAATGGATTCTCTCTCCAGAAGCTTCAAAACCTGCAAAAGAATGTCAGAATTATATCAATTTTCCCCTTTTTTCAAGTAATCAGCTGAACAAGTGAGGATGATGCAAACATGTAACATCAAACTACATTGAACAAAATATGGGGAGAACGAAATAACCATGGCAAATGCATGGGCATAACATGTTCCAAGACACCAATTTTTAGACATATACCTTAATAGTTGGCCCAATGGAGAAGACAAAAACATGTCTCTTGTTTACCTTAGGTTCCTGCCGAAACTTTCTGAATATGCAGCTTTGCTACATTGATGGTTTAGTTTGTGCAAAACCCATAATGAACATGCTACATTATTCCACCATAACACAGAGTAAAGAAAAATGCTTCCGATGCTTCAGTAATGTCTATCTATTATATGTAAAATATGCCGATCAGGAACCCAGACAAACACCAGCACCCACCACTGGTACCAGAGAATTTAAGAAATGTCACGGAAATATGATAATATGTGGTTTGACTAGCATTAACATTGGAGATGATGTTAAGATGAAATAAAAGAATGTGGTTTGACCAAGACTACGTCCTTAAATAGGGCAGAATAGAAAAACATAATTCATGTAGCCAACCTCTCAAGTAGTTGAGAAAATGCTTTATTGAGTTGAGTTTTACAGTGGGAAATTTACAGACTTTACAAAAAATCTGCTCAATTTCTTCATACTTAATTAACACGAGTAGAGTTAGTAAGGAATAATATGATAACATGTTGTTTGACTGAGGCTATGATCTTAGCTAGAGTAGAATGGTATAGTAAAATTCATGTAACAGTGCTCAAGTATATCGGGAAAATGCTTTGCTGAGTTAAGTTGAATAATAGATTTAATACGGGTAGGTTTTAGCACAATAATTACAAAGCTTTTGTAAAGTTTGTTCTATTTTCATCGTGTTTCTTAAACACATCCATTTTGGATATTCAGAACTCACCTACAAAATGATATTTACAACAACGATACAAAAAAAAAAAAAAAAAAGAACTGCAGGCACGAGCATTAATATTCAAGTTGGTATCGTGTTTGTAAAATATGCTAATATAAGTAGGACTGTCATCCTTGCAGTTCAAAGAGGTATGGTTTTTTATTTTATTTATTGGGAATCACAGCAAACTTGCTGACAATACTATACATTACATAAACTCTTCTAAATGCATTATTTACCTGTGTTGGACAAAAGATACATGTGCACGAGTATGGATGCGTATCTGGTCAGGCATGCAATCGTAAGCATACTCCATAATTCAAATTTATTATGTAATTAAGAAAAAAGAAAAAAGAAAAACCTCTCTTATTTTGAAGTTAATAGATTGCCTCAAAATGAGTGAAGTGAGTAAAATTCCCATGTTATGAACCCTAGCTTCCGAGATGGGGCAATTTTCTATGTTATATAAAAACACTATTTACATTAAGAATAAAAGTAAAATATTATAATTTTATAAATAGTTAGTTCCTTGTCCCCGTGTCCTTGGACGTCGGGATTTGATAAATCTAATACTTGGATACTTATTCTTGAGTCCATTCAGCATAGCAATTAAGAATTTTCAGTTTATCTGAAAGGAAAATTATAGTCCCCAAGTGGCCAAAAATAGGGAAAGAGAAAGTTCCAGTTAAAAACCATCATACCAGTCGTTTCCGGGCCTGTCTTTTGGCATCTTCAGCATTGGTCCCAACAATGACTCTAAGATGCTGAAAAGCTGGTGAAAAGCAAATTAGAAAGCCATGTCATTTTGTTTAACTTGATTGAAGAAGTATACTAGGAAATGATCGCCTACATGGGATGCCGCAAAGTGAGGTTAGATGAAGCCTTAGAAGACGTATTGCTTCCCTTGGCTCATGGTCATGCAGATCTAGAGGTATGTCCTCCGCATTATCTCTGTGATCAAATTCAAATTTGATATAGCAATATATGAATGGTACATGAAAGATATGACTCGGAGAAAAAAGGAATTCACTCACTTGGTCTCCAGAAGTTTTTGGGTAGAATTTTCATTTGCTTCTCGGGCCTTCTCCTTAAAAAAATTTCCCTAGACAATCACCCCCCCACACCCACCCAGAAATATAAAATAAAAGGAAAGGAAAGGAAAGGAAAGAAAATCAATAACAAAACCAAATTCAATTCAAGGGCACACCAATCTCTGAAAAATTGCCAGTTTGGGCATTACTGAAAGCCCACCACATTATATATGAAACAGGTATAATAAGTATGTCGGAGTTGACCACTTTAATATTCTATTAACATTTGATACCTCATTCTTGTTTACCCAAAGAATGAATACTTGTTAGAACTTTTCAAGGTAAAATAAAATTAAGTAAAAATACTGTTGCAACGCCCCTACAAGGATGAACCAAAGATGTTGACACAGCAGCCGATGGTAGATCCGATAACAAGAAAGTTTAAAATTGTACAAGTAAGAGTGTCACTATGTGCTTAATACAAACTCTTATTTTTATTTTTTTATAAAAGAGAGTGTCCTCCATCCCTTTGGAAAGCGAGACTAATTCCTTTAGATACCCATAATCACCCCCGAACCACAGGTATCGGGTAAATACAGAGGTTTTTGACACCCCCATAAATTAAACAGAATACCTCTGGGTCATACTCAGAGACCTTATGCCAACTCAATTACTCCATGGAAGTTTTCATAATATAAATTGTTTATAGATGACACATGACAAAATAAAGTTAACTTGTCATTGCTATGTAGTTGATTACAAACTGTCTAGGTGCTAAACTCCATTCACACGGTTTATAAGATATCTCCAGCTCACCAGTTAAGGTGATATATATCCACTCCAAATGAGTAAAAATACCAAGGAGAAGACAGAGGGATTCTTATTTATTTATAATTATTATATTATTATTTTTTGTGGGGGAAGTTTAATAAAGTGTAATACTAAAAAAATAACAATTACTATGGAATTGTTTTCAAATCTAAGCATTAATATCACTACAGAAAAAACATAGAAATTATACCTCTTCTAGAAGTTTGTATGCTCGTCCATGATCTTCAGCAAATGCGTCAACAGCCTGCGAAGCAGCTGAACTATTACATTCTGATCATGTTATAGTAGGGTGATACAAATGATTGAATAATAACACTAAAAAGATTGAATCTGAAATAAATGACCACAATAAAAAGTTTCTGAAAGGACTTACAGCTTTATAGTATTCTTTCATTGTAATCCAATACTCTTTAGCAGCTTTGCGTAGCGCCTGATAACCATCCTCTTTATCTTCATTTTATATTCAGAGACGCATACATATGTACCAGAAAGCATTCACATTAGCAGGAAAAAGAAGTATAAAAACAGGGAAGTACATAAACATTTCACTTACTCATGCAAAATTAAGCCATAAACCAAATGGCATCTACTTAATAATGAGTTATGAGTATTAGCGTCACAGTGGTTCATCCAGCTTTCTGGAGTTCATCTGACAGGCCTTGTTCAAGTATTTGTTACTCAAGCACCATAATAAACTGGGCCTCAGTCAAGACAAATGGCTCATGGAAAATCCCAGAATGGTCTTAATATACATCTATTATAAAGTAAATACAATTAAAATGACTGTTGTACTAATATTCTTATCAAAATCTTAATTCAGATGTGATTCCAACAGTCGGTCCCCTACTGGGAATAGGACACGACAGAATGGTGCACAGTGAGTAGTTTTCAGCTCCCTGATGTCGAATTCCGAAAATCAGCGATAGTTTCCCCACCTATGACTCTGATTCTAGTGAAAGCGATGAAAGTATAGCTCTGGTCCAGTTGATTTGAAGTCCCGGTCACAGTGACTCTTCCGAAAAGAGGAAGTTTTCTTCAAAGCTTGACCAGACACACCAGCACATACCCAACAAACTTCCTTCTTTATAGAGTCAAAAGAGGTGGTAGAACTTGTCATTCTATGAGGTGGAGTAAGAGTTTAACCAAGTCTTAAAGCTCTTGAATATTTACAAGAAGACTTTCAGCATACGAATATCAATGAATTCCTTTATCAGTAAATCACAATCTATAATACATTTCTGGCCTACATCATTCAGTTCCCTTTCATTGAATTCCTTTTAAGCATGTGAATACAATTGAGTTCACAATTTATTTATAACTTACGAATTATAATTATAAACGACAACTGAGAGATAGAAAGGACTAAGGGATATCATATATGTGTGTGTGTAGATTTGTATATTTCCATACAGCTTACACGATCATGATGACTCCTCTCTTATTCCTATACTCTCTCTTTAAAACCTTCATACACTTGTGTCCTTACCTTTTTCTCCCAAGTATGGTTATACACATATTATGTAAACCTTTATACTATGTTTGGGAGCACCAAATTGGCTGCTTGGAATTTGAATTGGAATTGGAGGAAATTTAGTTAAAACTTTAAACTAAATTTGTTCCAATTCAAAATCCAATCCGCCGATTCGATGCTCCCAAACGCAACATAAATTTATTTCTCTAAGATAATACTTTTTTCCACACTACAAGAAAGTTGTATCAAACGTACGAGATTCATTCATTACACAAGAGTGTCAAAGAAATGATGTCCCTGTGTCCAAAATTATTAGTTAAAAATTTAAATTTTGAACAAGTCAAAAGATGTGCCAGATACATGTTCAGGAATGTTTGAGAAGTGTCAATGTCAAACATGTGTCCAACACAGACAACTCTGCAGGAGCATCCATGTTTCTTAGCTTATATAAGAAGATTTTTCATTCCAAAGGCAAACACAAAGAGGAAATTAGCAAATAGTACTATTATAATTTTATCAGTCTGAATAGGGCCAATATTTTAAAATTCACTCTTTTTTTCCCAAGGTTATGAAATTCACCCACACCAGAGAATAAAACTTGGAAGACTTCTCTTCATTTTTTAATTTAATCCTTTTTTCACCGAGAGAGAAACTCCCACAAAACCGTGTTAAAATCCAAGACATGCAGAAAAGTCAAAGAACAAGCATCTTGTGATCGTATTCTCTATAGTCTTTGCAACATCTACACATCTTCAAGGGAGAAATACATTTTCTAATAGTTATTAACACAAACGTCGAAGTGCTTACCATCCTCACTAATATGGGGTTCTGGATTGGCAATTATATGCTCTGTAGTATCGTCTTTAAAAGGTTGAACTACAACTTGACCGAATGCTCTTGATCTCCTCACTTCTTTTACGTTGCGAGTTAATCTTGGTGCTTTTTCAACTCTTTCAGGAACAGTAAACAAGGCTTCTAAAATTTCCCTCTGGAGGTCATACCGGTTTTTGTCTCTTTTAGGTGATTCCAAATCATTTCTAGTGATAAATCTAGATTTACCACTGCAGTTGAAACAAGAACAAACTTGATGTTTTACAAACATGAAAAGACATCTGGGATTCAAGGCAAGTAATTTACAAGAGACCTTTTTCCCTTAGCAATACCTGGATCCCAGAAATGAGCTAGTACATGCTAGAAATGAAACACATACCTTCGAGCCGAATTTACATGCTCCGATTTTTCTTGACATAAAGGAGATTCCAGGTCTGAACATTTCTCCATAGGCTGTTATGAGAGCTTAAATCAGATCTATAAAACAGTATAAACATCAAGATAAAAAACAATGCCTATATCATACACATAGTATCCAATGCATTTGTTCTAAATACTTGATTCATTTAATTGTTTATCTGAATTCAACAAATTTATTTAGCATATTCATAAATATTTTCCAAACAGGCTACACAGATCCTTTCACTTCAACTGACTCTAGGGCCACAAATTTTAAGCACCATAGGCCATCTTACTCATTTTCACTGCCTTACCCATGTTCCTTGTGACCTCTTATTCTTGTAGTACCCTCAACTGTCTCTCATTGTTGTTGCACAGTATCTCCCATCTGAGCTGATTTTCTAACTTCATGCAATGGTAACTCAATAACTTTTCAAGATGCACTCATTTCCTATTCTATTTATATTTCAGCCATCCATATCAACATCTTCTTTTCAACTTCGACCTACTAATATGTTCCATTTTTACAATGTAACGTTCATGAAACTGTATAGTTGGAAATTTCTACGAATGAAAATCAACACAACTTTTTCAAGAAACCGCAAGGATACTGTGAGATTTTGTTAAGTATATATGACCAAAAGATTACAAATTCAAAGCCTTCAAATACATGAATCAAAGCCTTCAAATATTTGTTCGAGGAATCAAGTGAATGCTGGTTCATGTTTCTTGCTTTTAAAATCGGTGAGCAAGCTTAAAGTCCATCAGCGCCATAAAATTTTAGCAGAGCATTATCCAATTGAACTACTATCAATTTAAAATTCATATGAACTAAAAAAAATTCTCTTTAAACTTGTTTGCATACACATCAGCAACCGCAGAGTGCATATATTACCATTCAATGGTAGCTGACATCATACAAAATAGCAGATATAGATATTACAACCAAAACCCTACAATTTATAATGGAAAACACCGATTCCAATAAAGAACATTTACCTAATGACATTATTCCACTGCATGTATTACCTTATAGACCTTACAGGGGGAAAAAAGGAAAAAAAGAAGAAGAAGAGAGATGGATGAAGAAAAATAATACTGGAATGAGGACCTTATTAAATTCAATCGAAGTATTGATCTAATTAACATTAGATTGCCTTGGATTCTCTCAAGATACAGATTACATAGCACCTATTGTCTCAATTCTCAAACAACCACCCTAAACAATGGCAATGATAGAGAAGTTAGCACCATAAGAATAAAAAGGAAATAGAAAGACCAGGGTGTGCCCCACAAGGGGAATGACAGTGGCTTCACTCTCTCTCTCTCTCTCTCCCTCTCTGTCTGCCTCTCACCCTCTCCATATACATTATGCACATTAAGCTTTCAGTTTTTATCATAATTTGATTGTTGAAAGCTATAAAAATCTCCAGATATTAATATTAAAGTAAATGGAACTCAAGAAATTCGACAAATCCAATGTAACTATCCTTACAAAATTATGTATATAACTCAATCTAGGTATTTCCTCTCTTTTTGATAGAACATTCATATTAACAATCAAGCATCAACTTTAGTGTATCTCCTCCACCTCCCAAAGAGGAGGTGGAGCATCCAAAACCTAATTCAGACAAAGTGGATATGTGAGTGTGACATATCCATAAGGTACAAACAAACATATTAAACACTGATATCTCGATATACCAATTCATAAATGATCGTAGCAGTTCGACTCAATTTTTATATTTTCCACATCAATCTTGAACATCAGGTTTCTTTGCAAATGCATGAACATAAGAGCTAGTCACTGGACCAACACAGAACTCAGAAGTAAGGATTGATATTACATTCAGCCTTTTTTAATCTGCAAAAAGATCAAAAATTATTTATTGGTACTTGAATGTTTAGGACTACTCTTACTTTTTGAGCAGCTATGCTTAGAACATCTTCACTCTTCTCCAAAGAGGATGCTGTTAGATCGAGAAGTTTCTCCATGCTCTAATGAACACCAAAAAACAAAAAATCAACAGTTAAAGGTAAACAAAATATCCTATGACAAAATTGACCAATTTTTCGTTTTCTAGCAGTAGAAGATATCAGTCCTGCTTTTCCTGTAGATGTTTATTGTGTAACTTATGTTACATTAAAGCTTCCACTTGTTCCAGAAGCACTTAAGAGTAGTCCTGTTAGGGTTACCTCATCTGTATGACACTTTTACAAAAAAAAAAAAAAAAAGAAAAAAAAAACCATTCACAATGGAAGTACGGTGAAAAATAAGATACTGCTACAGAGTGCACACACTTTTGCATGCTTGTGCACAGCATGCATTTTGGCTTGTCATACCCATGTGCCCATACATACAAGAGCAAAAGAATGTGTACTAACTACTAAACCAAATAAAAAAAATCTGAAAAACAGATGACATAGGAGACATTGTATGCGAACAAAAAAAATTTCAACATAATGGAAAAGACACCTTAGCCTAGAAATGTCATACACCTTAACCAGTTGAATCAGAAGGCCAATTACTAGTAAAATACTTAACTTACCAAAGCCCAAATACCATGAGTGCCAAAAAAAAAAAAAAAAAAAAAAAGATAATTGTTGAGGGAAAATTGAGTACCTGAAATCTTAAAATGAATGTGCACTTACCTTTTTTACATCATACCCGCATACCCCTGCAAACAATAAAGACAATTCCTGATTACATATGATATCAACCTCATCGAGTGAACTTAATATGGAAAACAAGAACATTGCAGTTATAATCTGAAGAATGAGAGGAAGAGGCAAGTACTATCTTAAGTTTGATTATGTTCACATATTAAGCAAGTGATGTAAAGGTTTAACTACAATAACCAAAGCAAACAATTGAGAAAGTAACATGTAGGGCATACAAGAATACAGAGGATAAATTTGATTGATAGCATGAAATCCGAAGAGAAATTAAAAGGAGCCATTGCTCATCTGCATTGCAAATTTGTGGTGATGATTGCATCATAACGTAAGAAAAATGAAAATTTCAACACTACTTGAATCAGAATCGTATTGATGAAATGAACCCAATTATGAAACCTTCAAAAAAAAAAAAAAAAAACGGAGCATATGAACACAATTTTATGGAGATATCGGCATTTCAATTGAGTAGAATTCTGGGGCATTCTTCAAGTATGAAGTAAATATTAGCACAAGATGTTATGCATTAACTACTACCAAAAGACACTTCTGATAATAGATTTCAAGTCATAATTTATTTCGTAATTACCAGTCACATGCACAACCACAGAGAAGCTGAAACTAAATTGTAATGCTGGCAGACTAGTAAGTTTAGATGACACACGAGTTAAGGGTGTTTACCAAGGACTTCTCGAATTACATCCATGCCAAGTTGAAAGCCATCTCCAAGCATTGCAAACAGAAATTTCTCAACATCCTTGTGCATAGTTTCATCCCTAGCTGCAATATATGGTGGAATTTTTTCATCCCAAATCTCAGAGATGGGCAAATCCTCTGAATTTAACTTCAACGGTTTGTTCACTGCATACGATTCATTTTCCATAGGCTTGGGCATAGCATACTCCTTTCCAATCACATTTGCAACAGTACCCATTGATACTGAACATTTTTTTGGCTTTGATTCCATAGAACTTCTTTCTGCAAATTTTGGCCTGTCCAAGATATTGTCAGATGACTCTTCCGAAGACGCACTTAAACCCTCCAATTCATTCTTGGATGGAAAATTAGAATTGCTTTCCTGCATATTACAAAGTATTTCGCCAGCCGTGTATACATTGCGTCTTGCTTGACAATAAGCGGAGGCAATGTCCTCCAGCGAAACCATGGAGCCAAAGGCTTCAAGCAAGTGTTCCAAATCCCTTTTTTCATCATCATAATATGAAGTGCTTGAAGGAAGTCCTTCCGTTTTCATCCTTCACAACATAAGAGAGAAACATCTTTAATAAATTTGTGAATCAAGCAGCACAAAGGGATGCTCACCCAAACACTTGTATGCCGTTTTTTAATTAATAATTTACAAAGAAATCATAAATCATGATAATCTAGTACTATGGTATGTGGATAGAGAAAAAGGTCTTGTAACTTTATAAGTAAATATTGGAAATGAGAAGCTATTTATACAAGAAGCCAAATATAGCATGAATAACAAATGCAAAACAGTAGAAAAATAAATAAATAAAAAATGATGAAAATTTGGGAAGAGACATGATAGTATGGGTAACCAGGAATATTGTGTTATGCAAAAAAAAACATAGTGCAGCCAATTCAAAAGCAATTGGCATAGGGCTCTGTCAAGTTCGTTTGGAAGAACCTAGTATCATGGAAGCAAAGATGGGATTAAGAAACCCCAGTATGCAGTACAAGCCAAACACATTAATTAGACAGCTGAAACACTTATTCAACTCCAATGATGGAATGTTTGGTTGATCTGGTGAGTATGAAACTATATATTAACAAGCCTGTCAAATTGGCCCAGTTATCATAGATCAGCTTGGTCCTCTTGTATCCAGAATTGTCAAGTAGTATAGGAGAACATTAAAAGACAACAAACAATGCTGGAGTCATTCGACTGTTGTAATAAGGAGAATTCAAGTAATATTCTCAAGCATACTCACTGCATGACAAAATTGCACAAAATGTCAAAATTTGACACATACTCGAGAAAGGGCAATAAATGTATCCATTTCTACTCACAAAAGACATTAATGCAGGAGACATCATCCTAAATTCATCTTGATTTACGATAAGAAACAAAGAGCTGACTGAAAAGAATTTAAAGTCCCAACTACACACATTTTCTATCTTAATTACCTGAAAATGGTGTTAGTAGAAGGCAACGATGCATGCTGCACTGATAAATGTTTCTTAAATTTTAATATTCCAACTACAATGAAGCTTGTCATCCCCATTGCATATTGCATAAAAATGTTTATAAACTTTAGTGGATTGCAAACATTTGTTAATCTCCCCATTCCTATAACAAGAAACCTCTTGCAATAAATCATATAATCATTCTATATACAGCATCAAGCAACAAAGGAAATGTATTCTCAACAAATGTACTAGATCTTATTTATTTCAGAATCGAATATAAAAATAAATAATAAATAAATAAACTCTACTAAACAAAACAAAGCCTAATTACAACTTCCTAAGACATATGACTGTTCTCAAAACAATTGGAATATTCTTCCATGGTTTTTCTAATTGGCTGCACACAAGAACTCAAAGACAAAGAAATATTAACCATTAAACTATCAAACTAAAACATCTAGATATTAACAAAGATCTTAAGATAATATTTTATAAGACAAACCCTTAATGGGACAACTTTAGAAGCACAAGCATACAACACAGAGCATGTTACTCAACTACCTCTATGTTCATTTCCAGTATAACCATAAGGAACCTGGCCTCACTATCTTCACCTTAAACATCATGCAATACAATTTTGAGTAGCAAACAATTTGATTACGGGGAGTTCAAAATTGAGAACACTGCAAGTGCATAATCATTTTATAGACACCTAAAATGAAAGCAATTGAGTAGCAAACAATTTGATTACAGGGAGTTCAAAATTGAAAACACTGTGAGTGTGTAATCATTATAGACACCTAAAATAAAAGCAATAATCAATCATTGTTCACTCTTTTACTAAGTGATAGCAGGCCCTTGATCATTAAACTGGAATTAAAAAAGGAAACTGAGGTGCATTGTTCTATATAACTCACAGATTACCAAAGATAATTCACACTAACTACTACTTGTACTAGTACACATAAGACATGACCGCAGGAGAGAGAAAAACAGAGTTATAGCATTAAAAAGAAAAAAAATGTAAAGATAGAGAGATACATCAAAGAGATAGAAAGAGAAATGCATGTACGTGTCAATATACCTGTATATGTTTATGTATGTATCTGTGTATGGAAGAGAAAGCCATTAATCATAAAGAGCTTGACGTTTAAGAGATATAGACAACCAATGAATGCATTAGAGAGACCTATAATTGAAATGATCAAAGTCGTGATGAAATTCACCGAAATTTAAGAGATAGAGCTATTCCTGAGAATGAAATGCGCAAGAACTTGTCTATATAGATATACACACAAACACATACACGCACATGCATCTATATGGGGAGAGGAAGAATCATAGTTACAACGAGCTTGATGTTAAGAGTGTTTAAAATCACAGAGAGAGACGATCCATTCAAAGATATCTAAAATTGAAATGCGATCAAAATCAGTGATGAAATTCAAGGAAATTTCACACATTAATCGTTGTTTCCACATTAATTAATCGATTTCTGTCTCGTAACAAAAAAGATTAATCGATTGATTTTAACAATTAATCAATGCAAGTGAAAAAGATTGATGAAAACTTCACTGGTCTACCTTTCTCCTGGCCTTGGATCTTAACTTTAAACCCTAGGTTTCAAGACTGATAAAGAGAAGAAGAAAGGAAGAGCAATGGGACTGAGCGCTCTCTCTCCTCCAACAAGTATAGCGTGAGAGAAAAGTTGGATTTAGGCATTTATAGGACTTGTTTTTAGTGGAATAATGTGGGAAATAAAATAAATATAATTATATAAAATAAATATGTAGCTTTTCGCGCTCTTTCGCGTTTGTGGATATGATGGCGCAGTAGTCACACGCGATGTTGATGGCCGTGGAGCACACGCTCCATGAGCAAGACTTCAAGTTTTTTCTCCACTTCTTAAATACGTGTATGACTTTAAAAACTAAAACAATAACTCACAACTTAATATCTCAAATGCATTGGTGGAAAAAATGCCAGTCTACCAATGGACTAGTATTTTTTTCATGATATATCTATAATTATAAATTTGTAAAGTATTTAAGAATATTATAATCTTTTTATTTAATTTTTGTAGGTTAAAGAGCACTTTTGATCAAGTTAAAGATTTTTTAAGTCACATTATATGATGTCACAGTTCAGTATGGGGTGCGAGTGAAAGATGAAACAAACGTTTATAACGTGAATGATAATAATTTTTGAAAAATATTTGAGTATAATGTTTAGTCAAATTAATCCACATATATTATTTTTTTATATATAATTATATATAGAGAAATGATAAGTCTTCCGATTTTAATTACTACTTATTCTCCGAATACAACGTGATTAGATTACACTAGAACTCTTAAAATAAAATCTCATAAATATCTCACTTCTCTTATATATATTAATTATTAACCATTGTAAGTACTGTTTTTGGGTTAGTGTGCTTAAGTGCTTCACTTTTCATTTTTTCTGTTGTTCACATATATATATATAGTAATGTAAGACATAGTATATCTATTTTAAAACTGAGGCACTAAATAAGTGCAATGTTTAACTACTCACTCGTAAATAGATTTACTCTGCTTACTCTTTATATATTTTAATAAAAAAATAATTAAAAAAATTGGACCAACCCGTTTTAAATAAAGTAAAAACCCTTTCTCTTTTCTCTCTTAATTATCGATTCCCAAACCCAGGCCTCTCTCTCTCTCCACTGTTCTTCTTTTTCACCCTTTTTATTTTATTTCTTCTTCACTCTTTTTTTCTTTATATTTTTTTTCCATTGATATCCCACAATCAAGACAACAATTCCCGTGAAACTTTTTTTTTTTTTTTTTTTTCATAGAAGTGCATTCAGATTTTCTGAGAAAGCAAATAGCTATTTCCTATTGATTTGACTTAGCCAGCTATTCTTGATTCTGGTACGGTTTTCTTAAAGACATCTAGCCTAGGAGAGTAAAGACTGTATCAGTAGCACTCTTAGGAATAGAGAGACCCCTAATTGCCGTCAATAAATCATAGTTTAGGCCTTGGAAGCTCGTGCTGGAAGTTTTCAACTGATTGAGTTTCTTCCATCAATCATTCGGATCTACGCCGTATATCAACATATTACGATTTGAAAAGTCATCCATTACGGAAGTATGATGACAAACGTATGGTTTCTGAACCCATTGAGATGACCTATGAATTTTGCTATTTAGATCCTGTTAGCCTTTGGAAATAGCATAGGGACCGATAATGAAGAATCATAGGTCCAGTTGGGAATCAATGAAAAAAAAAAGAGAAAGGAGTTTTATCTTACTAAAACGGGTTAATTTAACTTTCATTATCTTTCTAATTATTTTACTAATTTTATTATTAAAATAAATGTGTTATTTTTTTATTAAAAAACATAAAGAGTGAATAAGGTGACGTCACTCACCAGTAAATAGTTAAGCATATAATAAAACAAAAGTGAAAAAAAATATAAAAAAAAAATGAATCTGTAGAATCTGCAAGTAAAAAGAAAAAGAAATTCATTCGGCCCAAAATTTTAAATTATTACGTAACGAGACTATTATCCAATTCATATATACTTATTAATTTTTTCATCCAATTTTAATGTGGACTAGTCCTCCTGGTAACACAAATTTTTCAAAACATAAAATATAGACATAAATTTTAATGTTGAGAAGAGATATCAACACTTTTAAATTTTATTTTAACACATTTATTATAGATTTCAAAACATAAAATATATATATTTAAAAATAAAATAAATTTGTTGAAAATTAAAATAAATGTATTGAAAAAATTTACAACACCGCTGCTGCAACTAGATGAGATTTTACACGAGTTAAAGTGAAATCTATCTCATTCAACAACAAATAATATTTTCTTCCCTATATGAATCATTCAGAAGGTGATGCTTGGCAAACACTGCACAAGCTCTTTCCATTTTTTACGCTGTTCACACATATATATGTATATATATAGTAATGAAATCATATATCTAAAACCAGGACACTGAAAATTCATACAACTGGTATGATGACTTCCATGTCCCATCCCCTCCCGTGATAAAAACAGAAGTGAAAGAAACCACAATAATGTAAACTGAAACCAAAAATAGACAAAATATTTTTGACCAACGATTTGGTAGGTGTTTTATATTTTTGACTGACAATTGAATGGAAACTACAATCATGGATTACTTGAATTAGTAAACTATATTCAGCATACTCTGTGAGCCTTTTTGTTTATACTTTATAGCTTTATAGGTAATCTTGGAACCTTTTCTTTTTTCATCAATCAATTTGACTATTTTCTGGATATACTTTTGAATATTCGAATTATTTATGGATTACTTGGATATATAAGAATTTCTGGATATACTTTTGAATTATTTGACATTCAAATTCTTATATATCCAAGTAATCCATAAATAATTCAAATAATTCAAGAGTATATCCAGAAAATAGTCAAATTGATTGATGAAAAAAGAAAAGGTTCCAAGATTACCTATAAAGCTATAAAGTATAAACAAAAAGGCTCACAGATATGCTGAATATAGTTTACTATCCGAATATCCCTCCATCTAAAATAAGTGTCCACCCTTTTATTTTGTGTACTAGTATTTAATAAGTGTCCTTGCTTATTTTTATTATTATTTTTTATAATATTATCAATTTAACTTTCTTGCTTTAAACTTATAAAAATCAAGCTTTAAACTTATAAAAAGCAAACCATCGTGTATCACTATGGGATAAACTTGACAATTTATTCACTATTAATATACTATAAAAAATAAAAATGAAAAGGAAAATGATATTTGCACCAAAGTCAAATTGTTGGACAGAATGATGTGACAGTCCAGTTGGCAGAAAACGTAATTTTTTACTTATTCATTTTTACTGTTCACCATCCATAATTTCAAAAACCTCTATATCGTTCCCAATTTTTCAGATGATGTTTCTTTTATTATCCTCAATTTCTCTTTCTTGCACAAATTAGAAATCCGAAAACTGCCATCCCCAATTTTTCTCTCAGAGATTCAGATGATGTTTCTTTTATTATCCTCAATTTCTCTTTCTTGCACAAATTAGAAATCCGAAAACTGCCATCCCCAATTTTTCTCTCAGAGAAACATGTTTCTAATTTGTGCAAGAGGGAGAAATTGAGGATGATGAGAGAAAAAACGTCCGAGAAATTGGGGACGGCAGAGAAGTTTCTGAAATTAGGGACGGTGAACAGTAAAAGTGAAATAAGCATATTAGCAAAAAAATCACGTTCTCTGCGCGCTGGACTGCATATCATTCTGCCCAATAGTTTCGATGTAAATATCAGTACTCATAAAAAATAATAAATAAATAAAAAGAATTTTATTACAAATTTAGATTTAAAAAAAAAAAAAACCAATTGGTGAATGGCTTAGCCATTTCCGACCTCTACTTCCCAAAAGGAGGCTAGTGATTCGAATCTTAGTAGAGGTATGTATGTGATTACTAACTAGGAAGCAAAAAAAAAAAAAAAAATTAAAAAGATTGGAATATTTACCATGAAAGAGAAATATGGTATGAAGGAGTTGTAATTTCTCACTCTCTAACCAGACATGCAAGGTTCATGATTCCGGGATCCCAGAACAAACCAACTCAAGATCGATCTTTTGTGCTTTGCACGGCACAATTAACCATACATAAATACTTATATGCATACATATATATAGTTATAGTTACGTGACTCTAAGGCCTCGCAGTTACTCACTATATATAGAAGGGCCTTGGGGGTTCATTACCATGCAAAACGTTAACTAAAATGGCTTTACCAAATTGTGTATCCATTGGGTTCTTGGTTTTGGTATGTTTAAGTCTTTGCTCTGCTCATAGGGTCCTCTTAGAGGAAGTGGAGGATCACAAACCAGAACACTTTGTGATCCACACAGGGCATGTATCAACAATGGCCGGAGGTGGAGGTGGAGGTGGCGGCAGCGGCTATGGTTCTGGTTCTGGTAGCGGCAGTGGCTATGGAAGGGGCAGTGGCCCCGGGGGTGGCGGTGGGGGCTGTGGTGATGGCAGTGGCGATGGTAGAGGTAGTGGCTACGGAAGCGGTGGGGGCTATGGTAACGGTGGTGATGGCAATGGCAATGACGGGAGTAGTGGCGGTGGCGGAGGTGGTGGCGGTGGGTCCGGAGGCGATAGTGGGGGCTATGGTAGTGGTCGTGGCTGGGGTTCGTCTGGTGATGGCAGTGGTGGCGGAGGTGGTGGTGGGGGAGGTGGTTCCGGAGGCAATGATGGGGGCTACGGTAGTGGTCGATGCTGTGGATATGGCGGTGGCGGCGGTGGCAGTGGCTGTGACCATGGTAGCTCGGATTGTGGACCTGCCTATGGATGCCCACCAGAGGCTGGGAGTGGATCTTGTCCAGGTTCTGGAAACTGCGGTAACTACGGTTGTGAGCCCTATGGCTGCCCAATTGGATGTGATCAGAATGGGCCTGTGAAGGCCGGGTCCGATAAGCCCACCAAGAAAGATATGGCAGCCCATGAAGCCCAAAGTGTGTTTGTTTCTCGTGGGACCCATGACCCCACCAAGACAGATAGTTTGCCTACACCACCTTACCCCGGGTCAATTGCGCCAACAAATGAAATTGAGCCAGAGCTTCATTTCTAGATGTACCCCACTGTACTCCTCCTACGAGGAAGTTTAGGTCTAGCCCATTGAAAAGGCTTCAAATAAAACTACAAATGATGGAAGAGTAAGCTCACTTTGCAATGAAATGAATTCAAAATTCAGAAATATTTTCTATCGCACACAAAAATATATAATACTACCTCTGTTCCAAAAAGATGTCCTACTCTGTATCAATCAGTCCACTGATTTGGACTCTCCACGTCAAAATCAAGATGAGGGTAAATTTTTAGAGTTAAAAGATTGGCTCCACAATTAAGTTATTGCAAAATAAAGAGTCAATGGCACATCACAATACACAAGATAGACGGAGAATCCACCACTTTATTTTCATTTCATTTTTACCCACTTTCTTCAATGTCATAGAACTGGTGTGCGTGATTAGGATAATTAATTGGAAAAATGGAAACAAACTATAATCTCATATACCTGTCATTATCTCAAGTAAACATTTTAACATTAAACTATCCTGTAGCAAATATATCTAATTCTTTTGTTCTTATATGAATTATGTTACAACTAACAACCTGCAAGTATACTAACAGAACTTCAGTTTCATCTCTTCTCTCATCTTTGTGGTCACTATCATTGTCACTCTTTTCTTCATTGTCTTCTAACAGGCATCGAAGTGGATCTAGTAAGGCCTTCTGGCTCATAACTAGGTGTAACACTGGAGGAAACAGAAGCAGATGGTCGAAGCAGAGGTGTACCAACCCGACTGGAAGTCTCGTTAGCAAATGTGGGAGGGCTAGTTGTAACAATGGGTGGTTGTAACTCAATCTCTATGCTTGCGCCAGGGGCACCTCGAGGACTATCGAGCAATTCGTGATCGTATCCCTCAACGGACACTACTGTGCTCGTGTCTGTGTGCACAGTTGAATCGTCAGTGAAAATGCCATGCCTTCTCTTCCTCCTAGCCGCCTTCCCCCACCCGTGGATTGTCTCTCTTATTCTCTCTGGTATTAAGGCTGCCTTGTAGTTTGTTCCCATCTGAAAATGAAAAGGACATTACCTAATGCTACAACATTTTTTGTACACGACTTGAAGGCTGCAAACCACCTTTTATTGAGGAGCTTCATCAATCAAATTAGTTCACTTTATGCATAATGGTTTTAGGGGTAGGAGACAACATACATAGATCAATGACCATCTAAAACTTTAGAATCCAGGAGATGTTCCCTCCCTGGACCTTGCATTAAAGGATGTACAATCTTGCCCTACACAAGAGCCTATTCAAGATAACATCCCACAACTTCTTCAGGAAAGGAGGCATCCAAAAGTGGGAGAAAATAGTTATACTGAACCAAGCTAAAAAGTCAGGCAAATTATGGGAAAATAATTGCAGCTGTGGTAATTCAGGGATATTTCTTGATCGACTCCTATATATTTACTAACTAGCAAAATGTTGACTTGTAATCCCAAAAACCAAGTTATATAAATTTTAGGAAAATATTAATGTCTGGCATTTAACTTCAAAGATCAAGTAAATCTGATGAGGTGGCCCATCGGATAAAAACTACCTGATCATTCAGGGAGGGAATGATAAATGTAGGCAACTGGTAGATTTCATAATTAGAAAAAGAACCCTCCTTTGAATTTCAGAGATTTTTTAATATGTTTCCACCAATGGATAAGATTTAGAGTTCGGCTTCTAAACAATTCCTGAATTAACCTTATCATAGATATTGATAACGATATTCCAAGACAAATAACTTATTTATTCGCAGACAAACAATTTCTGGATTCACTGAAGGTGTCATGTCCCTAGGAGTTATGCTTGTAAGTGAGTAATGTCCATGGATTTAAGTAATACTCCAAACATAATTGGTTAATAAACTAGGAGCAAACAAGTGGTCTGAAGGCTCTGGCAGTAGCCAATTGAGATGTGTATAAACACAAACATCTGCATTCTCCATCAGATTACTTAGCACCGCACATTGTTGGCATATTCAGTGAAAGAAGCAAAGATAGGTCTAAAAGACCTTTGAATACACATAACATATCAAAATCTGGCTGATTTATGAGGTCATTGCACAGAAAAGTTATTCACAACAAAATAAAAGTTAAAAATGTCTTGTGGACACAGTTCAAGAGGCAGACATTTTTCATGTAGGCCATGATGGATTTCAACTCTTCTAGGGAAAACTAAAGCATTTAGAAAATGTACCTGAGTAACCAGTGCATATAGGGGCAAGGTGCTGTAGCTACATAAGAACTGTCCTGCAAACCTGGAGACAACCAATAATACAAGTAGATGAATTAGATGCATTTTTAATTAGTCTTGTATGGGTATAAATATAGAATATATTATCAACATCCAGTTGAATCCAATGCGTACCCCAAAATCAGCCGTACATACACCAGCAAATGGTTCCTGATAAAGCAAGAATCATACCCAAACTGCCACTGAAATTAAATCAACGTGGCATCAGTTACATCACATATCCTACATCCTAGCATATAAAGGAATACAAAATAGTTCTTCTGAAAAAGAAAATTTGTTTTATTATCTAATTTCATTTACACGGTGCTTTGACTTGATTTTTCATCAGACTAGTCATATTCGTATTTATGTCCAATTTAAAATTCACGTTTTGGTTGGTCAGGATCAAGTATAGAAGGTAATTCCAAGTTCAGCATTCCAATGATATAACCAATATAATAGTGGAAGAAGAAGTACCCAGAACCAGAAAAAGGAAGCCAGTTCAAATGCATTCTGCAACAAAAGTTGAACGTGGAAACAAAGATGCATGTTAGTTTAGATACTCATAGCATTGGAAGTAACTAGACTATACATCACTACAAAAACTAACGAATAGAAATTGTCGATAAAAAATAAAAAATAAATCTTTCAGCAATTGCATCATGGATTCATGATAGTAGACTAGCCAACCTGGAAAAGAACGAAATGGATCAACTTCAACAATAGTTCAGGCTTCTTAAACCAGAAAAGATCATCTCGAGGCTTTAACTTTGTTTCAGTAAAGAATCCATTTATTTTAGCACTCTCCAATGCCAAGGTTGCAATAACATGTTGCAGCTTTGCGCCCACCAGTAGAACAAGCTGCATAAAAAATACAGCATAAGAACACATAATATGAGAGAAATGTGTTTGTCATCAAACAGAACTGGAATTGAATGGAGTAATTTTTTTTTTTTTTTCATGCTCTATTTGGGAAGCTGATGCAGACAGCATTCCTAATTTTCTGCAGTATAATTTGGAATGCTGCCTGCATCACTGCAGTATAATTAGGAATGCTGCCTGCATCACTGCAGTATAATTAGGACATGAATATTCCATTTACCGTTTGGTTCAGGTGGCAGCATCACTGGAAGAGGGAATTCAGACTGTGAAGAGAAGGAATATGCATAGGTTTAAATCACCTTCCTCCCTCATGCGGGCCAAAAGAAATGAAAGAAAATCGGTAGTAACGGTCGCAAGAACCAGAACCCTAGGCTCTGATATAGAGTTGTGCAAGGTCCGTGATCTAAACCTATTGTTGACCTAACAGGGAGGATTTGGAAGAAACTCAAATTCAACATCTGTGTAGTTTTCTAAATTTTATTTGATTTATAAAATAAAATATATATATGAGGATTTGGAAGAAACTCAAATTCAACATCTGAGTAGTTTTCTAAATTTTATTTGATTTATAAAATAAAATATATATATATATGGGCAAAATCAGGAACACATTCATGTCCATCATCCAGGTAACTGTTAAAATGCATTAGAATAAGAACTTACAGTGACAGGAATGATGGCTATCCAGAAATATAGATTAGACCCTGCAAATTATGGTACAAAAACCAATAATCCATGAGGTGTTCACAAGAACCAAGTATAATCTTTGCAAAAACCAAGTACAATTTCATTATACAACAGTCAATTAGTGAACTGAAGTTTGGAAAGTCCAAGCTGTATCATCAGTGAATCTCATTACTAGGCTCAAAGCCTCAAAGTGATCTGCATGAAGTTCCACCCCAAAAGGGAGGAGGAGTTGGGGCGCAAAAGCAACAGAAGTGCATTCATGTATGTTGGTAATTGGCCCATATAGCATAAAACAATGACTATTTTAGCCTCAAGTTTTCCATAACATGCCATACCTTTTACATTAAACAGCATAAAAGCAACAACAAATCCCCATAGCGGACCACTGCAAAAGATTCAACAAACTGGCCTTTCAGCTGCTAGCTTCTATACAAAATCCAAAATATTCAAACAAAAATGACACTCAAGTAAAGGCATTGGTGATTTCTACTTAGATTTAGACAAAAGATAATCATACTGTAGTCAGTAAATCAAGCCTTCTTGGAGGAGGAGGTGTGGATGGAACATACGCAGTTCCATTATCTTATTTATTTCGTTAGTTTCTTGTCACGACCCACCCAACCGGTGTAGATATTGTCCGCTTTGCATACCCTCCATGCTCATGGTTTTCAAAACGCGTCTACACAATTAGGGGGTCTCCACACATATAAGTGTCATCAAACCTCTTCCCCCAGGTGATGTGGGACGTCACAATAACCTTCTCTTGGGACGCAGCATCCTCACTGGCCTGACTCTCATGGGCTTGTGCACGCTCCACACATTTATGGCTAGGGATTGACACTGATACCATTTGTCACGACCCACCCAACTGGTATAGGTATTGTTCGCTTTGCACACCTTTTGTGCTCACGGTTTTCAAAACGTATCTACACAATTAGGGGGTGTCCACACATATAAATGTCATCAAACCTCTCCCAGGCAACGTCGGACGTCACATTTTTTATACAGTTAATGCAATTGAATTATAAAAATAGAAAGTTATTTTAGGATTAGGAAGACTTGGAATTGATTAATTCAAACCTAGGATTAGTACATTCAGCTAGTGTCAGCTTCAAATCTTCAATTTAATGTTCATTGTTTAATATCGGCACCTATAGCAGCTAGTTCAAAAACCAAAATCAATAGACAAAGTGCTATGGAAAGATAACTTAGTTAATTCATAGAGGTCCGCAAGTAATTACTGAGTGCATTTTAACTTTTAGGATGATCCAATATCTAATAAGCTTTTGAAATATCCATTTAGAATCTCACTGGACAAGATCTTCATTGGCACCTAAAAAGTGAGGATAATACAATTACAATTCTTCCTTCCTCACATTTTTTTTTAATAAACGCAGTAGAAAGTGATAAACAAATATAAAAATGAAGGAAAAAAGCAGTTGCTTTCTCATTAACAAAATAATCTCATTATGTGCCGTTATTTATTTTTAATTTTTACTTTTATTAGTATTATTATTTTGGTGGGGGTGGGGGGGCCGCAAATGGTGAACACATAGAAACAAATACACGATACTCAAATGAGGCCACAATTTAGTTCTGGAAACCATCAGCAACTTTAGATTAGTTCGTTGATTACCTCACACCAACTATCCTTTGAAATTCTTCTTCCATAGAGCGAATCATATAGCTGTGAAAATCATATTTTGATGTAAGGTTGTGGTTCTGCCATGAATAAGAAAAACAGAAAATGTAAATAGTAAACTAGTACTAGCAAATTTGTACTATACCACCAATTATTTATCAATATAAAAAAAAAAAAATCAATGATGGAATATGTCTAAATAATACAAACAGGAAATGGAGGCATCAAAAAACCAAACTCTAGAATACCATGAATCTAACTGCTATGGATAGTTCGACACAAGGATTTTTTTACAACATGTTCATGGCAGGGAACAATTTTTTTTTTTTTTTTTTTTTTTTTTTTTGGGTAAGTGTTCATGGCAGGGATCTAAACTCAGAAAAGTTCAAAGATTCAACTCTTGATCAGATGAAGATACTGGAGGACACATATATACAAAGTGAGAAAATTTTATAAGAAACTCAATATCAGACTTAATAAAGATTGATGCTGATACAATGAAATGGCTCACTTGAACAGCATCTAAAACAATGGCAAGCAAATCTCACTACATGAATATGAGCATTGTTATCATTCAGATTAAGATATATAAATTGGATATTAAGTTTAAATAATACCCTAAAAGCCTATTCATAACTAAGGAGAAACCACATAAATCATCTTCCTTAACCATAAGAAGAATAATTAATTATGTATTCTTCTAGCTGTATTATGTGATTTTTCAAGATAATCAGTCTTTTTTTAATTCTTAATTAACTTCTTTACTTTCTTGGGAGTGCCAAAAGCATATTAAAAAATATATTATTTGAAGAACTGTTAAGAGATTGGTATTTGTTGAGGATCACTTCACTAGTTACTATGCTTCCAATTCAGCACTTATCATCACTACTTTGAACTACTTTTCTCCAATTTCTGGCCCTGCCACCTTTATTATTATTATTATTTTTATTATTATTTCTTTTTGATGTAGAGCTTGTACAGTTTCATACTTTGAAACAGATTCTTATCATGGTCCTATGTTGGTCCCATCATTTCTGTTTAGGTTCAGTGAGGCACACGAGATCCTCCACTTTAAGTAGAAGCATCACCAACAGTGGAAACCATTATGCAAGTGCTCATTATATGCTAAAACTGTGCAGTCAAAATGCGGCAAGGATTCTATGTTGCTGACTGATGGATTATCCATTTGACAGAGAAGTGTCACAGAATATGAAAACTTGGGAAGCAACTTCAGATATTAAGCTCACAGGAATGTGGTTGCATAGCAATGCAGTATATGCCAGGAATGTTAGAAACTAAGCTTTATTTTCTGCTGTTGCTGTAATTCTCTCTATTTTTTCTTTCTTGTGTATATCTCAATAAGATCCGTTGTATTATGCTAGGATGAGACCTACAGGATCGAGTATTATCTTTTAAAATAATTCTGTGTTGATATGTTTAATAAAGCGAAATAATACAAAACTATATAAGAATTTACTGAGAAATGATAACTTGATTGGAGCTTTTTAATAGAAAGCCCGCCTTTAAATTTAACCATGATGTACTTCCATAATAAAAGTAAAAAAATAAAAAATTGGCAAATTCAAAGATTGGTCTGACATTACATACCATGATGAAGCCTTTGCGGAGTGTAAGGTAGTCGGCACGAACCACTGAACGCCCAAATTGCCGGAAGAAACAGGTCTGCAAAATAACAAAGTTAATCTAAAAGGAAAGAGCAGGTTCAACGGAAATATGTAGCAACAAAATTGAAACAAAAACATATAGTTACAATTCAGCTTTGGTTAAAATTTGATCCCTCCAGAAAAGAAAATTCAAATCACAAATACGTAGTGAAAATTGATGGGAGTATATAGGCCACAGTTCATCGGTAAAAGTCTCCAGTAGTTTAGCACAGACTCATAATTAGTTCCCATTCTTCACTTCCTTGTCTTGCTTCTAGTGTGCTTGCTTCTCTCGTGCCATTTTAGAGTACAGGTAATTAGCTACGGAGATGCCCCCTAACAAGTAGAATATATATTTTCACTATATTCAATAAAAAAAAATTTAAAAAAAAAAAAAAAAAAAAAAAAAGAATTTTTCTTTGTCCCTTCCAGGTGATAAGAAATCAAGAAATGGTTGATATATTCAATATTACATGTTTACAAAAAACTGTTTTTGAAGGTTGACCCACTGTTTCTGCACAAAAACATCCTGCCGGATTCACTATTTCAAGGGAAAATGTTCTGCTAATACTATTACGTGTATTCAATACCGGGACCCTGTATTGTGAAGCCCATTGTCACTTTTAGAACCAAAAAAAAAAATGCCATGGATGTTTACATCCATTTATGTAAATATCCTAGTTACTTTTTCATGGAAACACCAGTTAGAGTAGTACATTATGGTTGCACCTAAACTGTCACCAAATGAATCATCAAACTCTACCATCATTATAAAATATAAATATATAACATAACACATATGAAGACAAAGAAAAGGGATGAGGGGAAAAACATATCAAGGGGCTGGGAACAAGTTTTGGACCATGACTAACTTCAAGTAACCCTGACAATCATAGAATCCAGCAAAGTATGATGCTTTAATTTCAAGAGAAAAAATCTGAAATATGTAAGAAAGATTTAGTTATATGTCATGTTGTTTCCAAAATTTGTCCACATGCAGTTTATTATACAGAATATTTTTGAAATTCCAGTTCCTAAATATCAAGATTTTAAGTGTTTTTCCCCTATTTTTTTAACGAACATGTAAAACATTGAATATAAACCCTATATATGTTTCTCACACAAATGCAAATGAAACAGCAACATTGAATTGACACTTCCATCATTATTTTGGGAAGGAAAATTGATTTCCCCAGGACAAGGTTTTGAACCATCAAAATATAGGATAAGTGTGCTCCAGGGTTAACATACTAAGCTTTGCTCATTTTATTAGAGCTGCACAAAATTTGTATTCTACTGTTCTTGATTGACATTGAATAATATACTGTTTAACAGTTCCCTAAACTTTGCATCAAGCAGCAAGTATACTGGTCAAAAAAAAAAAAGGGAAAAGAAAAGAACAAAAATGTGCAAAACAAAAGTCGAATTAAAAACACATATTGGAAAAAGTGAAGTAAACATGAATAAGAAAGCAGCAAGATGGAGAGGTGTGTAACACGACTTGACATAAAAATTAGGAATTCCAAAATATTCTAATAGAATCTAATCCCTCAAATTTGTACAATGTTTTTCTTCAGCATTTCCTCAAACAAATAATAAACCATACAATAGTTTGCTAAAATTTATATTTAGGAACTGAAATAATCCATAAATAAAAAGAAAATCATAACATACAAAGAACAAGTTAGTGGGCAACACAAAAGCAGCAGAATCAGACAGTTGTGTATGTGTGTACCTACCACCCAAATAAGAACACTGTTCCTGACCAAAGGGTTTGATGTATGAAATTTGACAAAGGTTGATTGCCTTCGCATTGTCATCTCTCTCGTGATTTCTGTTAGATAAAGTTTATTGTTAATCATATTAACTTCTGCCAAATAATTAATTTGAATATAAGAATAGCACATGATCTGAACACTATACAAATTTCAAGGAATCAATGGACTCGTAATTATCAAATTTACACAAACATCATAGATTCCACTAAAAAATAAAGTGTCTCCGCAATTCCCGCCATCCATGTGGGAACATTAGGCATTCCTCTTTTCTCTTCTTAAAGAGATCTCTTCCGCCTTTCCCAGATCTCTTTTCTTAACACTACAAATTCATTTCTTACTAAAAAATAAAGCGTCACAGCTGTCACTAAATAAATAAGATTACTTTTATCAGACGACTTTTACATTGAAAAGCTGACCATTATTCAATTTTATCAAACACAGGTTTAGAGGAGCTTACCCGTTAATGAATCATGCCTGTCCATATGAGCTTCATCCTCCCATACCCTCCAACTGTGAATCTGACAGTATAATTACAATGTCAAAGAGTAAGGGGAAAAAAATGACGAATTTGAATTTTATTTTTTAAATTAAACTACAACTGTGGAAGTTGTCTTCCATAACGTTGTTCTGCTAATGAGAGATGTTAAGCTATAACATTTAGTATTCACTTGATATCATAAATTAGCTACTGAAGGGGACACAAAATTCTACCTCGATCATTCTGTTTACTGGCAGGAAGCAACATATATAGAAATATATATCACAGATCTCCCACTAACACAGCTTGGAACTCATTCCATAAATCAATACTCTGAAAATTAAATTCATACAACTGATCGAGAGCAATCAGCCTACTAGTTACAACAAGATTTGACATTGTTGACTGGCAGAATGGAAATTAAAGCAAAACAAGGCAAATATCTTTTTCTAAGGGTGTGGAGATTTTCCACAAAATGTTCAATAAAGTTAAAGGAATAATATTTCCAAACAACTCACTTGGTTACTGTAGCTACAATAAAGAACCTAACCTTTACAATTGCCAGCAGCATTGTTAAGCAGCTGTAGGATACATGTGTAATGGCCATGACAAAGATGAATCGGTGTAACTGCTCAAGGCCTTCATATGAAACAAATGGTTCATGACCCTATGGAACAAAAAAGTTGGAAACACCCCAAATAAATCCATATGCATGAAGAAACAATTCATATTAAAAAGAAATACTTAGAAAAGAATAAGAAGGGAAATGAGATACCAACTAAGATGGTAAATAAAATACTATTGATAGAAAGAGTATGACAATTTTTATTCCTCCAATGCAAATATCTGGTGAAATTAAACCGAACTTCAAGGTACTAACTTATCATTCTATAGAGATCAAGTGACATGCCTCTTTGCAGGTATTCTGATTTAAGGTATTCAACACTCTCCTAAATGAGTGAGGAAGAGCAAAAGCCGTCAAAAGTTTACGTTCCTGGGAAACATTATTTTCCTTTTCCGCATCAATCTCAGACCTTGTGCATGGAGCAAACGCACTATCATAGAACTTTGAAGGGATGCAGATATTGGATATAATGCTTGAGGTAGCTGTAAGGAGGAGAGAGATGAATCCAAGCAGCATCAATTCTGAAGACAGAAATCAAATAAAATGAAACTATAAGATGAGTTTCATGAGAATGAAGAAAAGAATGCACAAGAAATAGTTCACATATTTTGAGAGGTTGCATGAAGAAGTCATGCCAAATACCTTCTTTCATTTTTTCCACAGCTTGAAGCAAAGGTTTCCGATTAGTTTTCCGCAACCACTGAAATGATAGAAGGGCAAAAGTTCAAAAAAGCAGAGTACCAATTCAATTCAGTGTCCTCATTGGCAATGCAGTTCAATTGCTAAACCATCTTTGTAGTGTATAAAAAGGCAAAAAAAAAAGTACGTTAAAAAGGAAAAAATACCCATTGCATTGGCTTAAGTTCATAAAATTGAATTTATTGTACAGTATAGTATAGTGACCATGGTTCGAAGACGCAGTGTAATGGACTGCAAGGGTGTATTGGGCATAACACATCGGGATTGATTGTCGCAATCATGAAATTTTATTGACCTTCCACACCAGCAGATGTACAAACTCAACAGGGTATGTAGGGACTCGGCCAATTTTCTAGTGACTCAGCCGAGTCACAGAGACTCGGCCAATACAAAGAACTACAATAGTTACCAGAATAGATGCAGAGATTGGACAGAACCCGAATTAAAAGACTCATAAATCAGAACCAAAATACAAAAAGCTTAGGCAGTAGTACATGTAAGCACGTTGAACTTATTTAGTGGTATGAAAGCAATATGAGAAAACCTCAATCTAAGCAATTGTTAATGCTAAAAAAGCATCATAATCAGATGATTTCTTATCTGCAGAAACCCACTTCATAACAATTAAAGATAACACAGACTACAGAACATAAAAGACAGGCTTATGAAAAATGACACCTTCACTTACATTACTTAGACGGTGAATTGACCGCTCCACAAGCAAGGAAACAGCAACAAATATTGTCAACACAGTAGCAACAGACCAGGTAGGTGTTAAGGCCAAAGACCGCATTTCTTTCGAATTTTCCGCCATTCCAATTGAATTTTCTGCCATTCCAAACTACGACAACCGTAAACCTCTAATTTTCAACCAAAATTTATAACTTCATCCAACTCACAACATTTTCCAGAACAATACCCAAAACTACATGGTATGAGAAACAAGCTCTGATGTCCCCCGCCTCTTTCTTTTACTCCTTGGTTCTAATTTACATGACCAAGAGGGGCTATTAAAGAAATAAATCAGCAAATTTCTGCTATTTGGTAATAATGTTTCCCCACCCAAAGTCGTCAAATTCAAAACCCTAATTCAATCACGGACTTTACCATGACTATTGACTCCAATATGGACTCTTCGTTCCACAATCAGCGTTGGAAAGTGGAAAAAAACTTGACTTCCGAAACCGACCAGAACGAAATGGCGTTTCCAGAAGTCGATCTCAACCTATTTGCTTTGCTAGCAGTCTCTACACAATGCCAAAACTTTGCTTCCTCAAAGATCTTTCAAACCTAAAATTACTCAGAAGACCTTCGGGAACAAGTCGTTCCCCAAAGTAGCTTAAGAAATTGAATCCTCACCCCCTAAATAGCGACTTCTCTATATATATAAGCGTCTTCTTCCTCTGAAATCTGAGTAGTTCACTCTGTTTTTCCTTTATATATTTATGTACTCTCTCTCCGTATACCTCTTTTTTTTCTTTCGTTCTTCCAAATAGTCTCTTTCTCTCTCTAAATCTAGTACTTGAGATAGCGGAGTGATCTATATAAATATATATGATCGCGTGTGACTCTGGGTTATAGGTAGAGAGGTTTCACATGCAATTTCTTTGAAGAAATGTTATTTAATTATTCCGAGAAAAAGCTCTGCGTTTCTAATTTTCTATCCATCTCATTGGCGGGTTCGCTTTCTAGCTAGTCGTGACAGAACAATGAACCCTTCACCAGGAGAGATCTCAAGTCTTTCTCCCTCTCTCTACATAAATATATATATCTATATGACTATATCTCTGCGTGTAATGTGTATGTTACGAGGATAGTATTTTCACCGAGATTGCCAGACTGGAGACAGTTTAATACAGAGGGTGGCATTGAAAAAAAGTGTTCACTGTTGGCATTTATATTCAAACTCCGTAAACGACAGCGTTCTGCTTTTATTCTGGTGAGTGACAGTGTGACGAGTAACTCTCCCATATTTAAATCATACCAGTTTCTCCATCAAATCATCAATTCAAACACTTATTATTGCAGTGAGTACCTACAATACTTTTCAACTTTTTTAAAGTATCCCATTTCTTCACTCAAAAATAATTAGACCAGACCTTGTCAATTCAAGCACTTGTTCTTTGTTTTGTATGTGGTGTTTGGTCCTGTCTTTATAAAAGTCGTATTAAGATTTTTTTGTCAGGTTAAATAAAAAAAATAAAAAAATTCAAGCACTTGGCAAAGATTTAAGAATAAAGTGCGAAAAAAAAAAAAAAAAAAAAAAAAAAACTCTTAAACTATATTTAAATTTGTAAATAATTCATTTGAATTATATTTTGTACATAAAACTCCTTAAATTATCTTATTTTATTATAATATATTCCGCTGACTATACTATATTTTATTAAATGACCATAATACCTCCTTCTTATCGAATTACATTTAATATATTTTTCTTATCTAAATAAATTATGAAAAAATTCATACTAATTTAATGATATATTTTTCATTAAATTTGCATAAAATTTTGACTTTAATTTTTTTAATTAATTATTTAAATATAAAAAATTAGCATAATTTTTTAAAAAAAATGAATTACTTTTTTAATTTTTAATGAATATACTACATGAAAAGAAGTAATTTTTTTCAAAAGTATTTTATTAAATTTTCATCAATATATTGTATGAAAAAAATGATTTTTTTTTACAATAAAAATGTTTAAATTGGTTATAATACGTTTTATTATAAATAATAAAGTTTTAATAATAAGTTAATCAATTTAGAAAATGGTAGTTACAAATCTATTTATCTAATTTTTTATTTTTATGATAAATTAATACTAAAAATAAAATTAAGGTTATAATTAATATTTACATAAGAGAAAAAATAATAAAAATAATTTAATAAAAAATAAAAAATTTAATGAGAAAGGGCAAAATAGTCTTTTGTGATGAATTTGTCCTTAATTGTAACAACTTAATTACAACAAATTAATAGTCTATGAAGACAATTTTTAGTTCAAGAAAATTATTTGCAAAAGTACAATAATTTAGAGGAATTTTTTACATTTAATTCAAGATTTAACCATTGGACTGAAAAAAGATTAAAAATAATTCCAATATTTTTTTAAGAATTGAGTGGACAGACACCTTTACTACCAACACAAATTATACTAGGGAAAAAAATATATACTCCTTCGGGTTGGCATCTTGACAACGCAAATTTTGAAGGCGATGTTAAAGTGGTGGGTCCATGCTGTAACAACTCCCCAGTCCCTCTTATTATGTTGGGATCTATGGTTGAAGATATTGAGGGTCGTTTGGTTTGGTTGAAAATAAAAAAAAATTCCATTGTCTCCTTGTCTCGAAATGCCAATGGTGTTGTTATAGCTCTAAAGAGTAAATTGGAGGAAAATTTCTATTCTATGGTTCACAACTGTTAATTTCGTTATATTATCCTGTTCATTTATCTAATAATATTTGTTGCCTTTACATTGAAAGAAAAAAAAATATACCTTGCTTCTTATTTTATGTAAATCTCATATAAAGAATTTCTAATATTATAAATATGGTTTACATGAAGTTATAGATAATGATGTACGCCTCTTTGGAAGCAATTGCGTGTATTCAAAAATTTCAAATAATTTGTCTATTTTATATAAATAAAAAATAGAGGAACATAAATTATAACAAGACCAACTTTATATCAATCAGGGAAAATACTTAAAAAATGTAACGTTAGTTTCCATTTATTGAGAATGAGACATATGATTTGTCTAATATAGTATACGGAAAATGACACGCATGAAACAGATCTGAAAATCATATGGTAGGTGAATCTGACATATGGAAAAGAGGCTCAATTTTATATTAATACATTAATTAATTAATAAAAGTAAAGTAAAACTATATACCCTTTTTTTTTTCCACCTAGCATGACAGTAATACTCCACCATTCACTCCCTTATCAGGGGTTTCTTTTCCTTTTTTGCCTTTTTTCCTTTTCAATCTTATTGTCTTTGATTGGGTGCAGAATAACCACAATAAGGACAAGTAATACCCCACCATTCACTCCCTTATCAGGGGTTTCTCTTCCTTTTTTCTTTTCAGTCTTATTTTCTTTGATTGGATGCAGAATTGACATTTTCACATGCATGTGTTGAGAGTATGAAAAGATAGATATATATATATATATATATATATGATATTTTTAACGATAATTTTTACAAACTTCATCCTAATTATCGTGACAGGACACGTTCAATCTTTCACCCCCCAAATTTCTCTCTCAAATTGTGTCCTTTATTTCTTAACCTTAGCCTTAAATATCTCAAACTCTCTAGCCCCTCTTCTCTCTCGTCCCCTCACATGGCATCCCCAATTTTTTTCGCATAGATTTGGACCCTCAACTCTTCCGTCTATGAAGTATTCTGTCAGATTCACCTCATTCTCTCACTTTTTTTTCCGCATAAATTTATAATCTAACTTTAATCTCTCACCTCATTATCTCACTTCATTCTCCACTATAAAATTTAGTATTGAAAATTCAAGACCTTAAAAATTACGATTTGAAAGAGAGAAAAATAAGAGCAGTTTCACATATCAAACAAAGTAGAACAAAATATATATACATATATATATATACACATTCAAAAAAATCATAAAATATTTTAAATAAGCTTAAATTCAAATCAAATTGGAAGGCTATTTTCGTTGGTTGTAATTCAATGATTATTTCAGTTATTATGTTGTTGGAGGCAATCCTATTTGTTTTCATGAAAGTTTAATTAGAGAAAAGAAAGACAAAATAAACAATAAAAAGAGCATATAAGAATTTTACAGTGTCAAATGGTGATCTTGTTTGTTTTCTTGAAAATTTTATTAGAGAGAAAAAAGATGAAATAAAAAATAAAAGGAGCATATAAGAATTTTATGATCATTTGAGACGTATTTAATCAGTCATGTAAAAAGTTGTTAGTAGTAGATTTTTTATAGTTGATGTAAAAAACTGTGTGGAAATTAACAAATATTTTCCGGGAAAGAGAAGGAAAATAGCTTAGTGATTGGGCCAGTCGCATTGCTTCACTAATTTGACCTGAGGGGTAAACCAAAATCAAAGTGACATAGACAGATGATGATGTCTAATGACCCCAACTCTGGTTAGCTAGCCTAGCTAGCTATATATTCAACTCTCTTTCAACTTTTAGAATTCATCTTAAACTCCTTATTTTCGGGAAAATTTGCTTTACAGCTAGCATCACGCATTTGTCTTTGACCCGTTATTTTCGTCATTTTACCTTAATTCAATATAGATAGGGAATTTTAATAAAAATTTATGAAAAAAATCTGACTTTAATATATATCCAACCTTACAGTTGACTCAGTAGTCTAATAAATTAATAATTCTTGTAAATTTTAAATTGTCAGATTTCGCACTTTTACATTTATTAATTTAACACTTCTTGCCTTATAAAATATAAATAAATATAGGTGTGTATATATATATATATATAAATTATCCAATTTTGAATAGTTAGTGTTATATAAGAGTATCTCTAGTTGTTGTGCATATTTATTTATTTTTTTGTGTAAATTTGATATGTCATAATAAATTTACATAAAAATTTTAAATTATTTAATTTGAGCTTCAACGGTTGTTTTATATCTTTTGTATAAAAATATATCTCCCAATAATAGCTAGCCATGTGTCATGTCAGGATCTCACATAATTTTTACAAACCTACTTAATATATGGTTAATTCTTTAATGGAATAGGAAAGAAGGATAAGAAAGGAAATATGTTGATCTGGCAGTGTAAAAGATTGTGTAAAATATACAATATTTTTATACATTGGTAATGTGACAATGTATCTTAAAAAACTATTGAAGATGTAAAAAATTTACACATCATAAGTGACAGTTTATATTTTATACAAAAGGACATTGTAACAGAACATTGGAAATACTCTAAGAGTGTATATTCAACTCACTATTTTGCTTACTGTTAAAATTTATCATAACCGGAATTACTGGTAAAACACATGTATCATTTTTACTTACCCAATATATATATATATATATATATATAGTGATCCGAAACAAAAATGGTTTATGAAAGCAAAATTAGCTTTTTAGATTGTCATCGCAATAATTACAGAGGGCATGCACAAATCATGATATTGAGGTTGGTATAATATATATATATATATATATATATATATATATATATATAGTGATCAGAAACAAAAATGGTTTATGAAAGCAAAATTAGCTTTTTAGATTGTCATCACAATAATTACAGAGGGCATGCACAAATCATGATATTGAGGTTGGTATAATAAGGACCTTATCCTAAAGCATAGGTTTCAACTTCAACTTCATGCCATGCGCATGAAAGTTGGACATCATCATATCACATTACGTCCAAGTCCCACCAAAAAGAAAACAGAGATGGATTTTATTTTGTTTTTTATTATTATTATAAGACAATATTGTCCCAAGCGAATCTAATATTTCATTAGTGATAGGGCCAAAATAATATATTTATAAGCTCAATTGGAGACATTCTACGACCCATACCTTCTATTATCTCAAACAATTTGAAAAGATTTTTATAAATATTGGAGCTTGATTTGTTTAATAGAAGTGACAAGTCGACTTAAAATTTCTTATATACTACCTATTTAATACTTCAAATTTTGTGCGTTTTATTTCATACTGATGTGGTAGGTAAGAAATAAATTTGCTCGTTACTCGAAAATAATAATAAAGTTAATAAATAAAGAGTAATTCTATAAATTGAAATTAGTTTTTTTAATTTGATGGACTGTAACATTCTCAAGAGTCTCAATTTGTCCAGACATGTTCTCGGAACATCCTCTCAGCTGACCGACCCTA